ATCCGATTTGAATCATTCGAAAAACAGTGTGACCTTACATTCTAAAATAGAAAATTTTATCAGTAAAAGCAATTAAAACACACATTTACAATATTAATCATTTGTTATAATCAAATTAATAGAAACATATGTTTCTATTCCTTACATTCTAAAATAGAAAATTTTATCAGTAAAAGCAATTAAAACACACATTTACAATATTTAAACATATGTTTCTATTCATTTGATTATAACAAATGATTAATATTGTAAATGTGTGTTTTAATTGCTTTTACTGATAAAATTTTCTATTTTAGAATGTAAGGTCACACTGTTTTTCGAATGATTCAAATCGGATGCACCGCGCTAAGACTCGATTTCTATTTTCTGCTTTTGTTGCCCATATCTCCGAAATGGCTGAACAGGTCTTTACCAAAAACTAATCAGCACGTCTCCCATCAGTAGGAATTAAATACATACATACACACACACATTCATTTTTTCTAAGGTATGCCAAAATGTTCAGAAACCTTCAAAACGTAAAGACATGCAAAAACTTTCAATTTCGCTTATTGGACGATCACAATAACTTATCCTACGGGAAGTTAAAAATTCTGTTCTTTTAGGGATTGTATAAAAATTAGGAAGAGAGGCGTAGCAAAAATCTTAGTCTTTAAACAAAAGGTTGGAATAAATAAATTTATGAAACGCTGGTCTGAAAGAGTATCATAAAATATTAGTCAAACAAAAAAATTTATAATTATAAAAAAATAACGTTTGGAATAATGAGCCATTGTGATTTCAAATAATACTTAAATGTTAATAATGTTCATTCTTTATAAACTTGTCATTCAGAAACACGATATCTGTGCAACTAATTTAAAAATTATTTTATTTTATATAATATTGGAAACGAAATGGTTGTGTAGAAGTGCAAACAATATTTTACATAATAATAATCGTTATAAAAAAGACTTTATTCATATTTTCATAGGTTTTACTTTAAATATGGTATGGGAAACAAATTGTTTCCGGATTGTCTCACTATTATGGTCTGTAAAACAATTCCGGTAATACAAATATCTACATTGATGGCTGAACTTATTAATTTAGACTAAGTCATATAGACAATATATAAATCGCTTGAATTGAAAAATAATTTATTTTGAGAAATATGGCAAATTTTGACAAATATAATAATCACTAGATTAAAGTAGTATTAACCTTAAGCCAAGTTGCAAAAACTTTCCGATAGCTCTAATAGTCAATTCACTTAATCAACAGAAATTGAAATTAAGATATTTAGATAAAATTTTCAATAGTTTATGTCAAAAATGAGGTTTTCACTTCAATTGAAACATTAAGATTTCCAATTGAATTTTCTTAAACACATTTATATTATCTGTAATTATATTATAGTGCATAGACACGTGCTCGTATATCCTTATTATTTCAAATATTAATGAATGTACATAATTCAAGCAACTTTCGTAGGACTGTTTAATGCATGAACAATATCGCTACACTAATTTTCATGTAAAACGTCGAAATATTTTTTTAAGAAACTGAATACACTGGTTTGCAAAATAATATCTAATCAAATGCTATAAGAAAATACCAGCACGATTACATAAATCATGTACCTAATCCTTGATATTATTTTGTCATTTAAACTAATAGTAACAATTTTTCCACAACTAAATAAGATTGTAGACTGCTTTCTTGAAAAGATATGGCTTAGTCGATCTTTTCGCAAACCTATTCGCGGCTCTTTCTTATAGAGTTTACTCCAATGGCTTATAAATTTGTGAAATTTAAACTTTGACCTATAATATCACAAAAAAGACCTTTGACCCAAATTTTAATTATCATATTTTTTCAAACTTTGATGGATTTTTAAAATTAAACTGCTAGTCGCAGGACCAAGAAGATTTAGTATGTTATTAAGAACCATGGTATCTATCAACATAAAAAGTTTTATCAACATTTTTACAACTGTTACGGAGAAACGGCTCAGTCAATCTTTGATCAAAACTAATCAACACACAAATAATTTCCAATAATTTACAAATGTTTCCCAAATATCCTTCGAATAGTTTTTGAATTTTTAAAATTGATTCAAAATTTTTGGCTAAAACGTGGACAAAAAAATTTTCAAAAGAAACAGCTCAGCCCATCGTATAAAAAACTAACAAACGCGAGGGTTTATCAAGTATCATCAAACATCAAGTTTCATCAAACGATTTTAAAGTTTTCAAATCTATTCAGCAGTTTTTCAGAACACGTCAGTAAAATTCTAATTTTAACAAACGTCAAAAAAAACACTGCTAATTTTTTCAAACTACGATAAATTTTTAAAATTAGACAGCTTGTCATCTATATAGATTGTCATCATAGCCATTCCTAAAAAAAAGTTTTGAAAAATCGACGAAATTTTTGTTAACACTTTATTACAAAGAAAACAGCCTAGCCGATCTTTACCAAAAACTAATCAATACAATTTCTAACAAATATCTTTTGAACAGTTTTTGAGTTTTCAAAATCGATTTAGGATTACGGACTAAAACGTAGACAAAAATTTTAGAGTTAGAATATTAAGTTAGCATGTCAATTTTTTTTAATAAAAATATAAACGAGAAGTTATTAAAATGCATAATAAAAAAGATTTCGGTCAACCTATTTTGATCGGTGACAACCGAAAGCGCACTCCCGGGGGCGATCCGACTACCGCTCGCAACGGGGGCTTTTGGCTGCTGAGTTTCCTCTCTGGCCCGATTCGTCCCTCCTTAGACAACCTGGCCACCCCAAGCTCCCCCAAGGCGTCCATGTTGATTGCGAGATTAATGCGGACGCTCAGTCAACATGCGCCAATCAATTGCCATTAACCCAATCTCAAGGGTTCCACGAAATCCGACCTCCTAGAAGCTAGGATTACAAGAGACGCCACGCTCTCGGTCGAAAGTAGCACATTTTATATGTCTTATATGGATTTAAGATCAAACTTGTATAATGTATGGGCTATATTAGAAATGCGTTTAACATCTTTATTATATAATAATTATTAATTGTAAACTTGAAAGCTTCTTTTATTACTTTTGATTAACAATTAACATTTTTATTTTAGAATACCATTTATGTGTAATGTGCTAATATTCATCATTTTGTCAAAAGTGCTGAGTTTGGTATTTTTGACCGAGAGCGTGGCGTTTCTTGTAATCCTAGCTTCTGGGAGGTCTGATTTCGTGGAAACCTTGAGATTGGGGCAATGGCAACTGGTTAGCGCATGTTGACTGAGCGTCCGCACTAATCTCGCAATCAACATGGGCATCTCGGGGGAGCCTGAGGTGGTCAGGTTGTCTAAGGAGGGGCGAATCGGGCCAGAGAGGAAACTCAGCAGCCAAAAGCCCCCGTTGCGAGCGGTAGTGGGATCGCGCCCGGGAGTGCGCGTTCGACTGTCACCGGTCAAAACGGGCTGACCGAAATCTTTTTTTTTTAGAACAATTCTTATTTTATCTTTATTATATTGTTATTGTATTATTTATTAGATAAAACTCATTTCTCTGGTATGTTAGTATAATGCATACAGTTGTTCAATTTTTATAATGGAATAATTTACTCATACAATGTTATGTTTTTGTTAATATACTGCTAGTTTTTGAAATAGTGACTAGTATTCGATCGATATTAACGATAAAGAATTAGTGCTGAATTAGTTGTTGTCTATTACATATATTTCTTGTGTTTTTCTAATAGTATATCCTTAAACCCGGGAATATTGGTTGTTTGAATATTGTCTTAGATAAAATTACGTTTACCATTTGTCATTTTGAATTTTGTTTGTATATGTGGAATTAGTTTCAATTTTTGCTTATAATTGTACCAAGAGTTGTAATCAATGCATCATCAGTTTTGATCACAGCGCTGATCTTTAAAATACTGAAACTAATATCATTAAAAGGTGATATGGGATTGAAAAATTGATTAAATATAACATAAGTGTTTTAGAAACATTAATCCGTTCTCATTAATTTTTTTGTTGATTTTTTTTTATTGAATTCATCTTGAACTATTGCTTGATTTTGTCGATTGAAAAATTTAATTGCACAATAATAATGCATATTTCTAGTCTTTACCAAAGATGCTTTTATCCCGATATTTGCAATCATTCTTGCAGAATTCAGAAATTCAATGTATATTCGTGGAACCACAGCAAAAATTTTATTTTTATAGATTTAAAAACTTTATTTAAAATATAAATAAATTTATAATATTAATTAAATAGTATATTTTAATATCAATTAAAAGTTTTATTAGTAATATTCATTGCATATAATTCCTTACACAATTGTTAAATAAAGCTGTGATAATAGCATATTCATGTATAGAAACATCAAGTATCGTAGAAAGAGATTTCTTACACATCTTTTCATGAAATCATACCTAGCTATTATAAAATATCTGTAATATGTATTATAATACTGTATATTGTTATAACTTCATATTTATTGATAATTAGCTTAGATTTATAAAATGATAATTATTATGTTATCAGTCGTTATTTACCAAAATTTATATATATAATAATTTTTCGAACTTGCTATAGATTAATTAATAAGAAATTGGTCGGTTTGCATTTTAACTACAAAAATGATAAATTACAACAAAAATAATGAATACTTTGTTACGCTTTGAAACTTAATATTTAGTTTGATGATATACTTCTAATTTTTAAAGTTATTATAGAAATAATATAAGTACCCATAAATCAATAATAATTATTCTGGAATCAATGATTCATGCATCAGAACTCTTTCAGTATTACTATTTATACAGATAAACACATTTTCAATATATGTCTACCAGAAAATAACTAATATTAAAACTGCTAGAAATAATTGATGAATACCATCCCAATTTTGCTTAAAATTTCGTTATAAACATCACCCAATTAGATGCTCGCTACTCACGGTTCTGTAAGAATCATACAAATATAATAAGAAATATAAAATATTATATTTAAATTATTTTGTGTCTGTGCTAGGGGCAACAGCTGCTCCATTTATATACAATGTATATATAATTCCTTTTCTTTTATCTCCACTTGTTCGAGCAGTTAGGAGGGCAGGTTGGCCGCCCACTGTGAAATTAGTGTCGGTTCCACCATCAACGAATTCGCTCTGGAATTCAAGTTTAATAACTGTTTAATGAAACAATAAGATGAACATATAAGCAATAGTATATATAGATTAAGTGTGAACTTTTAGTTTACACTTTAGATTTAGATTTGATTAAAGATTGCAGCCGGTCATCGCCATTAATCAGACGACATCGCTATCAGGAAATAAAAGGCTACATTATCAATATTTTAATGTATGTATTTTTTTCGTTTCTTTGTTTGGCTTTGAACGCTGTTATTTAGTTGTTATTATTTAGTGTATTAAGTAGTTTCAATGCTTTTATATAACTTTTATAAAACCCAACATGCGGTTGGGATAAAAATAACCCACTGGGCGTTTTTTACATTGGTATAGTTGAAAACAAAAAGAAAATGGTAAATATAAAAGTAGTCTTACATGACATAAATTAAATTAATTGTTATTTCAATTTTGATAATAAATGCTTCTGACAAAGTTTCAGAAGAAGATTTTACACAGTGTAATTATTGTAAAAAATGTACCTACTTAATCATGTAATTTATATGTAATCAACCTAGTAAATAAACTGAATCGCATTGATTAAATAATGTAGCTATTATTTCATAAAACTTCTTTAAATTAAAAATAAAACTAGTGGGGTGTATGGCATCGTGCCTTAAGGCAAATTGCTGGAACTTCCTGTACCGTAATGAAATGTTCGAGAAATTTTAAACGTTTTCAAAGAGATTATTATAAATAAGTACTCTAACTTTATCTAATATTTATAAGAATTATATAAACTGAATTGCAAAGTTAAAATTATTTGTTTAAAGTATATTAGAACTTTAGTCAGAATTAAAAATAAAATCTGAATTATTTTCGATATACAAAAAAGACTAAAAAAAAAAACTAGTGGGGTGCATGGCATCGTGCCTTAAAGCAAATTGCTGTAACATCCCGTACCGTAACGAGATGTTCGAGGAATACTGAATGTTTTCAAATAGATTATTATTAATATTTTAACATTGTCTAAAATTTATAAGAATTATATAAACTGAATTGCAAATTTAAAATTATTTGTTTAAGTTATGTTAGAACTTTAGTCAGAATAAAAATAAAAACTGAATTATTTTCGATATACAAAAAAAAAACAATTTTTTTCAAAAAACAAAAACAATCCGAAAACGTGACTGGAAATTTGTATCCATATACATATATATATATATATACACACACACGCATCCATTTTTTCTGAGGTATGCCAAAACGTTCAGAAATCTTCAAAACGTCGAGAAATGTAAAAATTTTCAATTTCGATTTTTGGCCCATTACAGTAACTTACCCGAAGGGAATTTAATAAGACTGGAGATGTATTGTAATGAAATATTCGAGAAATTTCAAATGTTTTTAAATAGATTATAAATACTGTAACTTCCATTATTTGACATTTATAAATATTTACATGAAAAGTAAATAAACAAAACTTAATCAACCGGAATTAAAATAAAAGATCTTATCTGATATTTATAAAAATTATATAAACTGAACAGCAAAGTTAAAATTATTTATTTAGAGTATATAATTAAGCTTTAACATATTAGTTGGAATCAAAATTAAAATCCGAATCATTTTCGAAGTTTAAAAAAATATATTTATTGGCATTTTAAAAAAAAAATTGAAATAAAAAAATATCTTTTCAAAAACTGATCAATTTTTCACAACGTCAACACAAGCACCATGGTCGAATCAGATACTTCGGCCTCTCAAAACCTGTCATTTTTTGCACTTTTAGCAACGAATCTCCGAAACGGATCGACCTGTCATTTCCAAAAACTAATCACCCATCATTACCAATTGAAAGTTTTTTGAATCATTCAAATCGTATACTACGTTCTCTCAAACTCTTTTCTATTTTCTATTTTCTGCACTATTTGCTCCGTATCTTTGTAACGGGTGGACCTCCCTTTGCCACAAACTAATCGGCACATTTCCTATCGATAGGAACCGAATGATTTTTGAACTTTTCAAATCGGTTGATCCGTGCGCCCGAAAACGTGGATAAAACGGACACACAAAAGACACACACACACATCAATTTTTTTTGAGGTATGCCAAAATGTTTAGAAACCTCTGAAACGTGAAGATATGCAAAAATTTTCATTTTCGATTTTCTGGACATACTATAACTTACCCTGCGGTAAGTTAAAAAAAGATAGATTACAAAGATTAGAAAAATGGCAAAAAACGAAAATACGTATTTTTATAATAATGAACTGAGAATTGTTTAATATAAATTATGTGTTATATGTGGTTGGTTTGGTCTTCACGGTATAATTACTGATGGTCAAGTCGTACCTTCTAGTCAATTCAAGTTCAAGTCAATTCTAATATTATATGAAATAAAATCTATCATAAATTATGTTTACCGTTTCGGTGATAACTGCCCCGTCTAGCCAAATGTCAAGTGTATCTTTTTCCAAAACCACTCGGTGAGTTTTGCTACCATCGATCAGCACCCGCCACGTGCAGAGCACACGGGACTGCGCATCAGCAAATTGCTTGAACGGCTCACCATCGACCAGCAGAGTGTAGGAATACCTAAAGCCAGGCAATGGATCCACCTAAAATGCAATAATAAAAACAATGTCTGACAACCTTACAGTACCAAAAAAAAATTTTTTAAAAAAGATAAAGATTTTTGAAAAAAAAATTCTTTGAAAAAATTAGATTTTTGAGAAACTATAAATTTTTGACAAAAATTTACTTTTTAAGAAAAAAGAGACTTTTTGAAAATGAAATGTTTTCTTTAATTTAAAATATTTTGGAAATTCTGAACTTTTTTTTAAATCGTACTGCTTTAACTGCATAGAGACGAAATATCAAAGCGAGTAAAGCTCCGCGTCGCCGTCTAATTGATAAACATTAGTACGGAACCCATAGGAATGTGAACAAAATTTATACTTATTATTAAAATCTCTATAAAATGTCTGATAATTTGATGTGCATATGTCTAATGATCATTTTTGACCGCCAAAGGACATTTTGTTTTACTTTTTTCACTAGATCCTCGAAACCGCTAGACCTGCCTTCATGAACATTTAATCAGTTCTTCATCTTGTAATACAAGTAAAATGTTTTTTGAATTATTAAAATCGGACGCTCCCTTCTCTTAAAAACTGAATTACCGTTTGTGGCACTTTTTGCCCCGTATCTTTGAAACGGCTAGACCAGCCTATGCCAAAAACTAATCACCTCCTTATTAACAGCAATCAATTGTTTTTTGAATAATTGAAATCGGTTGAACCGTGTTACCGAAATCGTCGAGGAAAATTTGTATCAGCACACACACACATATACACACACAAGCATCCATTTTTTCTAATTTATGCCAAAATGTTCAGAAATCTATTAAACGTAAGATATACAAAAATTTACATTTTTTATTTTTTTGGCATTACTCTAACTTACCCTATGGGAAGTTAATAAAATAAAACTAGTAGTGCATGGCATCGTGCCTTAAGGCAAATTGCTGGAACTTCCCGTATCAGAAATAAATATTCGAGGAAAAAAATCAATAATCAATAAATATTGATAAATTATTAATAACAATTAATATTATAATTACTATATATTTTATCGTTCATATATTATACAGTGACAATGTTGGCGCACAAAAGACTTAAGAATGTTTAGATTAATAGGAGATGCCAAATGAATTCATTTGAGAATAAATTTCTAAGAATAACACATAACGCGTATGAAATATAGACATTTTCAAACTGAATAGTAAATTTAAAATTTATATTTAAAATATAAAAATGTGTATAACTAATTTAGAAAATTAAAAAAAAAATCTGTTTTGAACTGTATAAGTAAACTTTCGAAATAAAAAATCTTGGTACGAAACCCAAAAAAAATGTGAAAAAAATTGTACTCATTTTTAAAATCTCTATACAGTACAAATATCTCATAATTTGATGTGCATGTGCTTAATGATCATTTTTGACCGCCAAATATCTTTTTTTTTATTTTTTTCTGTACCTTCATAACCGCTGGACCTGCCTTCCCAGAAATTTAATCACCAAAGCAAGATTTTTGAATCATTCAAATCGGGCGTTCCGTTATCTCAAAATTGAATTACCATACTTGGCACTTTTTGCCCGCCTCTTCGAAACGGGTGGACCTGCCTCCGCCAAAAACTAGTCAGCATGTCTTCCCATTAATAGGAATTGAATATTTTTCGAATAATTCAAATCAGTTGATTCGTGCACCCGAAATCGTGGACAAAAAATTGTATCAAAACATACATACATACATACACACACATCCCTTTTTTCTAAGGTATGCCAAAATGTTCAGAAATCATTGAAGCGTGAAGAAATGAAAATATTCATTTTCGATTTTTTTGCGATGAAGTCAAAAATTTAAAGTACATTACTAATCAATAATTTACGACAAATTCGGTGTATTAAGAATCTGTATTAATAATCTACTGTATTTTATGTAATTTATTTGCTTGGTAAATATTTTCAAATAGTTAGACGTAATCATTTCTCATTTCAAATATTATCAAAGTTTACAAAAATATTTCAATTCTTCAAGTTTATCGAAAATTTTGAAATATTTCATAAATTTTGAACATTCAGTTTTTTCCAAATCAATTTCGTTCAATTGTCACATTTGTATTTTATATTTGTATAGTGTATTATCATCTTTTGAGAAAGTATCCATTTTGAAAAATAATATTATACCGTGATAATGCACCTCGTGTTTCCCAGATCAAAGCACTCGTCACCAACCAATTTGAACATCCAATCACGTCGAAAGATTTCCTAAAAAAAATATAAAAACCGTTAAAAGTATTTTCAATATGAACATTTAATAATATTTCAAGCCATACCTGTCCATCAATCCATAAAACTCGTTTTCCGGTGGTTGTGCCATGTTCAAATTCAACTTTATAAATTTTGCCTCTGAGCGGCACGTCCCAACTGCCAACTATTTCCTTACTCGGCGATTTTTTTTTATTTTCCAGCATTATATTTTTACGGCTCTCTTTGTCAGTATCAATGCAAACTTAGTTAAGACTTAGTTAATTTATAAATGATTATTTGACACAACAATAATTGCATGCTTATTTCAATGAGAAAATAGAATTGTTGTGCCGAACATTGATGCTACACCTGCATTGTCATGTCCGAGGGAAAATTGTTTCCTGCGCAATAACAAGCGTCAATATAATTCTCTAGTTGAAAGAAAAGAAACAAAAAATATTGGGCAAAGTGATATGGTTTCATAAATTGATTCCTTTTCAATAGAAGTAATATTTTTGAATTATTTAAAAAATATTCTGAAATATATCCACTTAATTTTTAATTTATTATGTAGGCTGTGTTAATATTTTCTTATATGTTATTTAATTTTCATGATTTCTATACACCTGACATACTTTTACCTGTTATTTTGCAGTATAGTATTAATACTATTAGTTATTCCAACTTAAATTTTCTATATTATTAAAACTATAAAATTATTACATTATGTTAGCGATTCGTATTACTCACAGAAAACTAATCGATGGAGGTTAGTCTTATTAGATACTGTATTTTCTAGTTCAACCTCATTATTTCCATAAAATCAATACGAGAACGTCATTTCCTACTATCGGACTACATATTTAATGAAACAAGTTTCTTGTTGCAAATTCATTTTTGATCATTTAAAACTCTATAAATTAATAGTTCATAAGTTATTTTAGCGGAATATATTTAACAAAAAACCTATATTTAACGTTGTAATTTTTATGTTGTTTTGAAAGTTACTCATAATCTCATGTTTTTTCAAATGACAATAGTTTTACCAATTGCACATATCGGTAAATTTTTTCAACTCGCATCAAAGCAAAACTCCACTTATACTTACTTGTTAGTTATATATATATTTATTTATTCAAATACAGGGTTAAACTCATTACAGTAAAAAACTAGTGGTGTATGGCATCGTGCCTTAAAGCAAATTGCTGGAACTTCCCGTACCGTAACAAAATGTTCGAGGAATAAATAGAATATTATAAATACTGTAACAATATATAATATTTATAAAAATTATATATAACATAATCACAATAATATTACATAATCACAAAGTCAAAATTTTTTATTTAAAGTATATAAGTAAAACTTTAGCCAAAATTAAAATTGAAATCTGAATTATTTTCGATATACAAAAAAAAAGTTGAATTTTTTTTTCCAAAAGCGATTGTTTTGTCAACACAAGCAGAAAGTTGTTTAAATCAATTAAATCAAATGCTTATTTCTCTCAAAAACTGCCATTTTTTTAACATTTAGTTTCGTATCTTCAAAACGGCCGGACTTGCCTTTGCCAAAATAATCACCACTGTTCTCCATCATTTCGTATTGAATGCATTTTGGATCATTCAAATCGGATGCCCCGTTGTCTCAAAAACTCGATTTCCTTTTGCACTCTTTGCTCCGAATCTCCAAAAGGGCTGGACCTGGCTTTGCCAAAAAACTAATCAGCGCACCTCCCCTTAATAGAAATTAAATACTTATTTTTTGAACTATTCAAATAAGTTGATTCCGTGCGCCCGAAAACGTGGACGAAAAATTGTATCCATACATACATACACACACATCCATTTTTTCTAAGGTATGCAAAATATTCAGAAACCTTCAAAACGTGAAGAAATGCAAAAATTTTCAATTTCGATTTTTGGACGACCTACGGGAAGGTAATAAGTTATTTTAGCGCAATATAATTAGACAAAAAACCTATATTAAACGTTGGGAATGTAAATTTTAATGTAATCTTTATGTTGTTTTTAATGTTACTTATGACCTCATATTTTTTCAATTAACAGAGAGACAAGTGTTTTAACAATTGCGGGTATCGGAAAGTTTTTTTACCTCGCCTCAAAGCAAAACTCCACTTATACTTACTGGTTAGTTATATATATATATATTTATTTGTTTGAATACAAGGTTAGACTCATTACAGTAAAAAACAAATCGGACACTTAGTTCTCTCAAAAATTGCCATTTTTTGCACATTTAGCTCTGTATCTTCGAAATGGCTGAACCCGCCTTTGCTAAAAACTAAACACCTCTTCTCCCAATCATTGAATGATTTTTAGATCATTCAAATCGGACACTCCGTTCTCTCAAGAGCTCGATTTGTATTTTCGACACTCTTTACTCCGTATCTCCGTAACGGCTGGACCTGCCTTTGCCAAAAACTAATAAGCACATCTCCCTTTCAATAGGAGTCGAATGTTATTTAAACCATTCAATTCTTTTGATCCGTGCGCCCGAAAACGTGGGCGAAAAAATGCGGTCGTACAAAACACACACACATACACACACATCCATTTTTGCTGAGGTATGACAAAATATTCAGAAACCTTCAAAACGTCGAGAAATGCAAAAATTTTCATTTTCGATTTTCGGCCCATTACTATAAACTACCCTACGGGAAGTGAATTAACACTAATACAAAACTAAAACGACATTAAGGCTAACAATAAAACTAGTGGTGTATGACATCGTGCCTTAAGGTTCTATTTTCTGCACTCCTCGCTCCGTATCTCCGCAACGGCTGGACCTGCCTTTGTCAAAAACTAATCAGCACATCGCCCTATCAATAAGAATCGAATGTCTTGTGAACCATTCAAATCGGTTGATTCGTGCGCCCGAAAACATGGACGAAAAAATGCGGATATACAAAACACACACACACATCCATTTTTTCTGAGGTATGCCAAAATGTTCACAAACATTCAAAACGTGAAGATATGCAAACATTTTCGATTTTGATTTTCGGCCCTACGGAAAGTTAATTAACCCTAATTTGCAATAATAACACGAGAGATTGCTCGAAGTAAGATAATATAGGGGAAATACGGACAAAATGACATATATGGATAAAATTACATAGAGCCTGCTTTCGTGAAAATTAGCTTTTCAATATGTCATTATTGTCATTACCCTACATATCATTTTGTCGATCCTTACTATATGACAAAATGGTTTTTGTAATAGGTTGTATTTTTCCTTAATAAATATGTTGTAATTAAATTACTATATTACTGGTGGTCAATGAGCCAAAGATGAATAAAAACGATTGAGACCGGTTATAATATCATTAAATGAATAAATCTCACTCAAAAACAAAATACCATATCATTATGTGCGGACTTCCCCCACATATTAACATTTAATATAATATTAAGATTATTATATTAATGTTTTAACCATAGCGATTTTTTAATCTTCGTTTAACTACACTCAGCACCAACTTAACTTAACTTCGATATATACATATTGTTATATGATTTTCATATTCAATGTTCGATATTACATAATGATATTATGCCAGGACTAAATCCGAAAATCTTTGACCGCCAATCGCAAACATTCGTAAAAAACCTACAGGCTTCTAAACATTTCGTAGTTCAACGTTCAATAAAAGTTAAAGTTTTAGTAAAATATATTATTCAAGATTAATATTTTTAGAAAAATAAAGTTCTTTCAGGAAACTCAGAAGATTAAGAAATCACTATCTGCATTAACTTAAAAATAAAATCTTCAGATTTGTACAATATCTGGCGGCGTAATTGTTAAATACTCTGGTTACTCCATCGCTACTTCTAACACATTTTGGCGGCAGCGATGTACGTCCAACATTATTTTGGAACCACCGAGTACGCCCGCCAATCGTATTGTGATTTCAGACATCTTTGACATTTACAAAGTTTGAAATTTACTTTCAATTAATAATATAGATAAACATGGTGTATATGACATTAACCATTTCACCATAAATTGGAAATGCAACTTACTTGATTTCTTTGCTTTGATTATAGGAAGATGATTGTTGAATAAGAATCAAATGACAAAAAGATGAATACGTTAAAGTCAACAGTCATCTTTCTATAATTATTTAAATTAATCTACTTAAAATGTTGTTAATTTAATTGAAGAACTGTTTAATTAAATTAATATGAGGGAATAAACTGGGCATTGGCATCGGACTTAAATAAAAATAAAAGTCATGACATTTCTAGAGTTTTTGTAATCAATAAATTTTAAATATATTTTTATACAGATGGAAATTATCTTTTATAAATTTATCCATTTCCATATTGGTGACCAACGCGGAGCGCAGATCAAGAATTACAAAATTTAGATTGTGGTGCACTGGTATGGATTACTGGTCTTCCGTTGGCTATCCTTAAAATACGACCAGTCCTCGGGTCATCGCCTATGTCCTGACACCGGACTTCCGTCGGCATATTTATTCAAAATGTCCAGACTTCAAGTCATAGCCGACTCCATAATTAGTTCTGGCCACCAGGTTTCACCGGCCTATTTACGCCAAGACTTCGGGTCTTAGTAAGCTAAGCAGTAAACCAACAATTTGTCAAATTCACAACACTCCTACAATCAGTCTTCACAACAAATAAATACAACGTGTTTCCGTTCACCTTCGAACTGGTTTGAGCGGCGAGTTAGTGGGAATCAATTATGGGCATTGGGATCGGATTTGAATAAAAGCAATAAAATGTCATGACATTTCTAGAGTTTTTTAATTATTAAATTTTATTATATTTTTATACAGATGGAAAATATTTTTCATAATTTATCCATTTACATAAATATATAAATATAGTAATACAAAAATTATTATGAAATTTATTATGAAAAATATATAAAATAAAATTTTAGTAAAAAAAAAGATTTTTTTTAATTAAATCTAGATTATTATTTAAAGCCTGTAGAATATTATTTTTAGAAAATCATTTATCAAATGCATTATTTAAATTACATGTTTTTCGTACAAATCAAATTTTCTAATTTAAAAAAAAGAAGTTTAAAGCTCAAAAGTCGAAACAATTTGTACCCTGCTGATATGGGCGACATAAAAGTGATCAGATATAACTATAGTGGAGTATAGCTTCGTCCCTTAAGGCAAATTTCTGGAACTTCCTGTACGCTATGACATATTCGCGAAGAGTATTAAATGTTTTCAATTATATTTTATTATGAATACTGTAATTTTCATAACTCGTTATTTTATAGACAAAATATGAGAGCTTATAAATTGGATGCTGAAGTTTATATAAGTTTACATGAAAAGTAAATGAACAGAACTTAATGAAGAAGAGTTAGAATGAAGGATTATATAAACTGAATTGGATAGTTAAATTTTAGCTGCAATTAAAATTAAAATCTGAATTATTTTCGGTTTTCAAAAAAAATTTTTTTTGGAAATTAAAAAAGGAATTAAAATATTTTTTTTGCTTTCCTCGAAAACAATCGAATTGTTAATACAACAAAAGGTTTTTTGAATAATTCAAATCGGTTGCTCCCTTCTCTCATAAACCTAATTGCCATTTTCGGCACTTTTTGCTGTGTATCTTCGAAGCGACTAAACCTGCCTTTGCCTGAAAAACCGATCAGCACGTCTCCTTATCGATAGGATTTGAATTATTCAAATCAGTTGATATGTGTGCCCGAAATCGTGATCTAAATATTGTATCCATACATAAGCACACACGAATTTTTTCTACTATTACTATAACTTACCCTACGGCCTACGGAAAGTTAAAAAAAGAAGATCACACGATTTTTTGTCAAATTCATTTCATGTATTGTTAAGCTAATTAATTATTGATAAAAGATAAATTTAGTATATAACAAAATACTAAATCTTTGACACACCTTCTCAGTGGTGTAATTTTTTTTTCAAAATAACCTTGGAAATCGAGAGAAAATTTAATTTTAAGTAAGAAATGTTTTATAAAGTTTTTCAAAAAACCAATACTTTTCAAGTTATTGTCAGTTAAAAATTCGTTATTTTTCGACGGTTTTCAGCGTTTTTTTGCAAATATTACCAAAAATATGAATTTTAATAAAAATCTTGTAATAAACAAGAACCAGGAAATAATAAAAGAATAAAGTTAATTATGTTATAAAACTAATGTTAGTATGAAGCTATGAAATGATTAATGTTTATTAGATATCCATAATCTTAAAAATGATGATAAACCATACTGTTTCATGAATATTTAATTTGGTTATGACTGATGGCATTACACCCTAATTAATTGGCAACTTAGTAATACTTTTATATTACGACTAGAGGATTTATAAGCTTTCGCAGTAGAAAAATAATTATTTGTCAATAAAGTGTTTGTTATAATAGTTACTTTTATTAGCAAAATATTGATAACAAATTATTGATGAAAATAACAAGATCAATTTCATTAAAACTTGTGTGTCTCATTATCAGTTGAATGTGAAAAATAATATAGAAAAAAATGCGGCGTAACAATTGGGCAATGTATCAATTAAAGTTGCCTGAATTTTAATGTCGAAGCTGTTAAACATAAACATGTTATAAAATATTGGTCTTCACTATGTCTAAGAGTTTTTATATCTCAATACGACCAAACTATTATTTTTACAAAATATTTTGTTCACTTTCGGTATCAATGAATAAAAATGGTTTTACGACAAAGTTTTCGAACATAATCTACAGCTTGGTGTGGATAATAGTGTATGGAGTTTTGGCCAAAGGTGCATTTCCAGAAACAGATGTTACTTTTATGTATGAAAATGTTCTATCACAATTACGAGGCAGTGTTGAAATAATAGCTACTATTTCACTGGTGATCATTAATGCTATCACGAATCTATTTACTCGTCATCACATCGTATTACTGTTCCGTACACTAGAAGAAGTAAATACAATGTTGGAAGATATTGGAGGAAAACTCACTTTGAGAAACTCGTATCTATATTTTCCTTTAATCTTTGTTATGTTCGAATTTGCTCAAGTTACATTGTGGGATTTCATAGTATTTTTAAGAAGCGAGTCGATCATGTATATTGTAATGAATTACACAACTGTACTTTTAAATTCTTCATGCCGATTTGCTTTCATCCAAATTGTATGCTTGATCTGTTCATATTATCATGCCTTGAACAAGAGCATTACAAACTTTCTCAATAGCGATATTTTAAGTGTAAACCAAGAATCAAAAATTGCCGAAGCAATTAACTTCATTAAAGGTGCTGCCGAAACTCATGCTAGAATTTCAAATGCTATAAAATTGGTGAATAAAATTTTTGGATTTGTTATATTGTTATGTATTGCACTTGCTTTCTTTATAATGACGAGCCAATTGAATGAGTGTTACATCACTTTCGCACACCCTTGGGATGATGAAGACGAAAACTATTTAATGTCCTTGCTAACAGCATTTAATTGGGCTAGTTTCCAATTTGTTGAGACTGCTATTCTAGTATATGCATGCAGCAAAACTATGTCAGAGGTATACATTGTTGCATATACATATTTGTTGGGGAACTTTTTCATGAATAATGGAAATGTTTCTATTTCACTATTTTTAGAAAGCAAAAACAGGGATATTGCTTCACCGGACTATGTTTCAAACAACTAATGTGGAAATAAAGAAAACGGTATGACGATTTTATTCAATTTCAAAGTTTCAAAGATATAACAAACAGCATATTGAAATATGTTTATTAATATCTTCCGATTTTTCTCTTCAAAACAAACTTCTCCATCGGGAAGTTTGTAATAACGTCAAGTATACAATACAATATTTCAAGTGTACAATATATTGTATACTAATTATAATTAACAAAATTAAAACAAGTATAAAATTTAAAACGTTACCTAAGTGCTCATAGCATAAAATTTCCCATTTTATCTATTTTTGCAAAAATTAGATTTTCTAAAGAATTTTTTTCACAATCTTAATATACACTTTTCACATTCACAGCATTCAAAGAAACAGAAGAAGATGTAATGGCCATAGTTTACACTTGTTTATTATTTACCATAAATTTTAACAGAGTCTAAAACTTTATAGTCAGATTTATATATATATATATATATATATATATATACAGGGCCGGTCCTGGGGTCCTGAGCCCGCATGCAATTTTTTTTCTAGCGCCCCCCCCCCTCATTATTTTAATTGTTTTAACAGTTTATTATTAAAATTATAAGAACATTTACGTTATTTTTTTAAAATACTTTTTAATAACTCTGGATTTAGTACACAAAAAATTAGATACATAATATAAAAGCACATTGATTTTAAATTTATTTTTCGCGGGTTCTTCTTAATCACTATCAAACTACTTCTAAATTCTTATTTTCAATCCAAACTTTTTAGGACATCCAAACATTTCAGTATGTTTATTATTGCTTGAAATAATATTTTTGAAAAATTTACTTTTTTATTTTGGAGATTTTATGCGATTTATTCTATTAAACAAATCATGGTGCTTTATGTTAGATTATTTTATTTTGATTTTTCATTATTTAAAATATCCAACATTGCTTCATAAATATTGCTCAAAAATTAGTGAAAAATGCAAAGAATTGTATTGAATTAAATTGAAAAAAAAAACCGTATTAAAAATTTCGTTTCCGAATCTCGTTTTGGCGCCCCCTAAGGCGTGCGCCCGCATTTTTTGCATGCATCGCATTCAAGGTAGGACCGGCCCTGTATATATATATATATATATATATATATATATATATATATATATATATATATATATAGTGTGTGAGTGTGTACATAGCAATAAACTCTAATGATTTTTTGAAATCTCATGTTTTTCAACTTCTGTCAGATAATTTTACATTTTCATGTACCATTAATACTAAGTCATAGGAACATTTTTAGTTACTATTATCGTCATTACAAATGCTGCATCAGAAAACTAGATTTCATGCATGTGAAATGTTCAATTTGGATTTTCAAATGCTATATGGGGTAAGTGTATGCTCTTTTTTTAAATAAAGTATAAATTTCTTATCAAAATATTTAAAATTAAATTTTTGTTACAGATCATTGGAGCAGTGTGTACTTACCTAGTATTTATGATACAATTTAATACATAGTGTGGCTAATGTATATATTTAAATTAATATTAAATTAATAAATAACATATTTCTCCAGTGACAGTCTTATGAAATAATTATACACCTTATAAAAACATAAAACTAATGATTCGATATCGAAAGAATGGCAACATTAAACTCAAATTTAGAAGAAACATGGTCCAGCATTTAAAAATAATATATATATATATATATATATATATATATATATATATATTTGCATATATATGTGGGTATGTATAAATTGCTTACAAATGGAATGGAGACTCTATTAGGTTTAGCTATTCCCACGGCTTTGTAAATGATGGCAAATAAATACTAGTTGAGTTTTTCCGAAACAGGAAAACATCATTTACCGACATATATGTGATTCAACGTCACAAATCTTATCTAAAATGACCAAAAGAGTTTTAAAACATATTATATACATTGTTTTGATTAAAATTATTACTTACATTGTTACATCGTCTTCAAATAGTTTTCCAAATTATTAATCATCTATTTCAATAATTGATTGATCGCTTTGTTCACTTTTTATAGTATCCTCAGTTTCATGTTTTACAACACTGGTTTTCATTTTCTTTGTTTGATGCTTTGAAGAACTAGTTGCATTTCTTTTCTTATTGTTAGCAGTTTTTTTATTTGAAGATGATTTATTTGATGATGATTTATTTGATGATAATTTATTTGACGATTTTGATTCACTTGTATCTTGTGATGATTGTCTTAATTCACATAGCAAATTTGGATCACATTTTATTTCTACTATACTGTTCGATATATTTTCCATGCTAGAAGGCGGAGGCACATTCGAATCGAATTTTGACCACATTGTGAATGGAACTAATAATTCATTATTTTCAACCTTTGGCAGTTTTGAATCAGGTACTGTGGAAATAAAAATATAATTGTTATTAAACCGTATATATGTATTGAATATTATATTTAGACAAGCATTTGCATTACTGCGCCAATAAAATGGACTAAAATGCATATCAATATAAATTTATTTAATAATTGATTATACTGGCTGACAACTGAAACTGAACTCCAACAAAAATTGTAATAGAATAGGAAATAGAACTCTTCAGTTTAAACCGCAACTTATATAGAATCATAAAGTTTTTATTAAATACCCTGTAACACAGCTGTAAACTCAACTAAGAGCAAGTTTTATGGAATCTAAATATCAAATTTGATAGTTTTGAATAAATATTAAATAAATAATTAAATCCGATTCGTAAATGTCATAACTAAAACTCAATGGATTGCGTTGATTAGTTTTGCAAAATTTCGACCAAGTCGTTTTTTTATGAATAATATACTCTATTACTCTTTACGAACCGAACGAGTTTTAAAATTAAAAATCTTGGTACGGAACCCAAAAAAGTTTACACAAAATGGGTACACATTAATAAAATTTCTATAAAATATCGGATAATTTGATGTACATATGTCCAATGAACATTTTTGACCGCCAAATAGCATTTTTTTTTAACTTATTTTTATTGAGAGTCCATAACCGCTGGACCTGCCTTCCCAAAAATTTAATCAACTCTTCATCTTGTCAATACGAGTAAAATGTTTTTTGAATTATTAAAATTGGACGCTCCGTTCTCTTAAAAACTGAGTTACCATTTTTGACACTTTTTGCCCAGTATATTCGGAACAGTTAGACCTGCCTACGCCAAAAATTAATCAGCACGTCTCCTTATCAATACGATTCGATTCGTTTTTTGAATTATTCAAATCGGTTGATCGGTGTTCCCGAAATCGTCGACCAAAATTTGTATCCGCACACACACACACACACACACACACACACACACACACACACACATACATCCAATTTTTTCTAAGGTATGCCAAAATGTTCAGAAACCCTTGAAACGTAGAGATATATAGAAATATTCATTTTCGATTTTTTGGGCGATTACTATAACTTGCCCTATGGGAAGTTAATAAAAAAAAATCTTGAACATTTTCCTGAAAAACTAGAACCGATATCGAAATCTTAACAGGCTCGAAATATCGATAACGGTATCGAAACTTTATAATTACCAGTAAATAATCAAAGCAATTTAAAAATGATAACGTTAGATTTTCATTATTGTTAGCATTCATCGGTCACAAGAGAAAATCTGCCTAAATGTATATAGTAATTTAAAATATAATTTTTCATCAACATTTCTTCAGAATAACTCTATTCTATTTAAAAAGTCGAGCAAAACATCAGTCGATAAACGTATTAAATAGTTTTTTTTTTCAAATATTGATCAAAAGTCAATGATCTTCGATATTATCACTACAAAACTGCCTGATATGCATAAAAAATCAACTTGAACAACAATAATTGAAATTTAACAGTTTAACATAGGATTAGAGGATCGGATCCTGGCAAAAACATAATCTTCTTTGGAAAATTAAAAGAATATTCCTTATCTCCTATCCTATCTTAATTTTCATTAATGTCTTTTATTTTACTATTGAATAGTTCCGTCGTAATTAACATTAAAAATATAACTTTCTTTCACGGTTTATAGAATATATAAATTAGTTTAATTCAAATTTTAGTTGAATCGTCTTATAATCAACAGTTAATCATTTCTGAAACTTTAAACACTATTTGGTAGTTCATGAATATTGTTGGCACTGAATAATCTTATGCAATATGCTCGACCAAATATTCGTAATTTAAAGTTTTCGGATATCATTGGAACCGTTTCCTGTAATTCTTTTCTTTAAGCAAATCATCAATTTTAGTATAATAATTATTGCATGTTTCAAGGTAGCGCTTATAAGTTTTTCTGTAACACAGCAGTCTATTATTATCAGGCTTAGAAATTCCATTTTTTGTTTCTAGACTTTTAAATTAATTTATATTTTATATGTCTATAATGTGCATTTTATGCAATTTCCAGGCAAATAAAGTTCCTCAATTTTTTGTACAGTTCAAATTGATTAATTGTTATTTTATGATTTAAGAAAATTAGCAGATCTGAACCTGATATTCTGATTTAAAATATTCTGATTAAATCTTTGTTTATAGTTCCTTATGATTAATTAATCAGATACTTCAAATAAAAACTTAAGATCTTATCATGGTAATAAAATTATTTACCTGTATGAATATAACTAATAGTGTTATATGGTGTAAAATGAAAATCTTCAGTTAAGAGCCCTTTGATAAGCATCCAAGCAATAATACACTCTGCTTGTTCTCGGCTTAAATTTGGTGGCTTTTCATCCTTCAGTCTAAATTTAACTGCACCTTTGTGTAGCCTGAAATGATTTTGAGACATGTCAATATAATAAGAATGTGTTGAAGTACATTAGAAAACCACATTTAAAAAAAACTCCTTTTATTGAATAAACAATTTCAAAAGAAACTATTATAAAAACCTCACAAATTAAATAGCTTCTATATTAAATAATAAAAGGACACTTTGAATACACACTTACACTAAATTTGAAGACAGTAATTATGAGTGCATTCTTTAAACTGCAGAACTATCTTTACTTTATAACTATATTAACTTTATAATTGCTTCTCACAAATCTATATATTTTAGAAGGTTGATTTTAGCCATTAATCTTGTCGTTTTATACATTTTGAATAAAATTTTGATTTTATTCCAGATTTTGTCGTTATGAGATTCAATTTAAAAGATACATTTAAACTAAATTAAACTAAAAATTTATATTCAAACAGATAATTAATATGGCTAGGAAAGTTTATTACTATCGGAAAACAACTAATGTAAAAAGCAGAATAAAAAATGTAATGTTCTTAATATTCAAGTGGGTGCAACCCATAAATACACAATAAAGATTTCTTCTACATACCAAGAATCTACTAGCATTAAAGCAGTCATAGGTTCACTGAAAGAATTTAAAATTCTTTTAATGGCTGGGAAGTACTGCAAAAGGTTGTATGTTCTAGATATCTGATTTGGTCGAATGCAGTAATCACACATTTTTATACAATGAGAACTCTCCCACATTTCTTCAAAATGGTCTGCTATTATAGTTCGTCTACATCTAAACAAGGTTATAAAAATATATTAGCCAAACTACCAAAAAAAAATCGCAAATCAACAACATTATACAAAAATCCAAAAAAAGAACAATACCTTTGTGTATCAACACAATATTCCAGCATGCCATATAAGTTTGGAATTCCTGTATTTGAACTAAAAACCATAGGACTCAATTTGAAAATATCACTTAATTTAAAAAGGAGAACACATTCTGATCTGCAGATAAAAGTAATATTAATATAATATTATTACTTTCAAATATATGGCATAAATGTGGTATAACCTTTTACCATCACGACCTGCTCTTCCACTTTCCTGATAAAAATTTTCCATGGATTTACTTAAAGCATGATGAATTACAAATCTTACATCAGGTTTATCTAAAATATTATGATATTCAAAGCTGTACATCTGATAGATTAATTATGAGACATACCAATTCCAAGACCAAAGGCAATAGTTGCAACAACAGCTTGATATGTATTATCCATCCATTTTTCATATGTTTTAGATCTGTGTTTAGGATCCATATTAGCATGATAGCATCCAACATTTAAACCTAAAACAAACTTTTGAAAACTCTCCTATCTAAAATATTGAACAAAGTATTTGTTTTAATAACCAACCTCTCTTTTTCAATTCATCCCTTATAACTTCAGTGTCCTTAACTGTAGTTGTGTAAATAATACCAGATTGATTTGCATATCGTACTTTTAGTAATTTTGCTATTAGATCCATACAATCTTCAGATTTAGCTGGTTTTTCAAGAACCTTTTGTTTAAGTTATATAGTTCATAAATATTCAAATATCTACCCTTGAATTAATTGAACAATATATTACCTGATAAAATAAATTTGGTCTATTAAAAGATGCTTTTAGCAGCAAGCATCCTTCTAACTTTAACATTTTTTGTACATCAACAGTCACTTTGAAAGTTGCGGTGGCTGTTAGTCCCATAATTGGTACACCAGGAAAAGTAGATTTAAGAATATTCAAATATTTATAATCAGGCCTAAAGTCATGTCCCCACTGTGAACAACAATGCACTTCATCTGAAGATTTAATGCATTTTAACTGATTCAGAACAGAATTTAAAATGACAAAGAGAAAAATTAGTAAAATGGACGTTGAGAATTAATGTAGAAAGACATAAAATCTAAACCTGGGCAGTCCTGGGCAAACCGAGAAAACATTTGTGCATATACAAATATGCCTTATATTATTTAAACAATTTCCAAACATGTAAATAAATATTATCTAATAGTTTATAAAAAATCAGTATTATAATGAAATTTTAAAGTATATTATTGAGTTACTCACCAATAGCAATCCTATCCAACATTTTTTGATTATAACATTTTTGTAAATTAGACATAAATCTTTTACTCTGTGCCAATCTTTCTGGTGTCACATATAATAATTTCAATTTTGATCCTGAAAAATAATGTTTTAAATTTTTGAAATAATATTGTAAGGTATCATTCCCAATTACCTTTTGTTACCATTTCTTTTAATGCTGCATTATTTTCTTCTTTTGAAGACGATGAACTCAACAACTGGCAAGGTATATTCATTTTTCGCAAAGCTGATATTTGATCCTCCATTAAAGAAATTAATGGAGATATAACTAAAGTTAAACCTAAAAGAAATATTTAAATATAATAAAATACTATGATTAAACTTATAATTTGTATTCACTTATGAATTTATTAATATACATATATATAACAAAGCCAATGAACAATTTGGAACTGATTATTATGACATGCACTACTTAATAAATGCACTACAAAGTTTGCTTTTAAAGAAGTGAATAATCGCATTCCTTACAGTGACATGTCAATAATTATAATCAACTTTTGGTTAATTTAGGGTACAGAATTGTTATCAAATTTTCTCCATAGCAAAATTGATTTGGCCATAAAAATGTATTTTATTATTAATAGTACTAGTCAGTTTTCAAATTAAAAGAGAAAACATGTAAAAAGTACTATTGAATTCAACATGTATGTTTAACAAAATAAGTAAATACATATTATAAAAACCATTTTTTTCTCTTTATATCAAATCCGCTCAAGTTTATTATGTGTTTGCCAATTAAATAAATCTAACTGATTAGATATTAATTTAGTTTAATCGCACTCTTTTTTGCACGAATTTATTAAACAATATTAATTTTACAAATGTTTTGAGACTAGGTTTGAATTATATTTATTTTAAATTATAATACACTGATGATGAGACAAACCTAGTCTCAAAACGTTTGTAAAATTAATATTATTTAATAAATTAGTGCAAAAATGAGATATATATTTATATATAAATTAAACAATTTTATTGGAAAAATTTATACCAACCATCAGAAATTACTGCAGGAAGCTGATAGCATAAACTTTTTCCACCTCCGGTTGGCATTATTAAAATAACATCATGACCAGACATTATACTATTTATAGTACTAAGTTGTAAAGGCCGAAATTCTGGTAGTTTAAAAACATTTGTAAGAGCATCCAAGACTTTTGTAGACCATGGAAAATCTGCAAATTTATTTCAAATATCAACCATAAAATTTAATGAAATGTATGGAATGTGTTCTTGAAATGGTATTGAAGCACTTAAAACTTTTTGGAAAGATTCCAGCTTATCAAAATTTTCTCAAATAATCATGACTTGTTTCATGTGATAACATATAAATCTTAGTTTTATAATCTTTTGAAAACAACCAATATCAATGTTACCTTTTCTAGGCTTTTCATTTAAAAATAATAAAGTAAATGCTGTGCAAACTGGCCGCAGTAGAGATAAGTAAATCAATTAAGGACACATAAATTAAAAACACAAAAACATTTGCAAAACAATCAAAAAATCTTAATAGAACGGTATCTGTAGAAGATGTGGTCAGAGGCCTCTTTTCCGGATAAAAGAAAATGTTTGAAAAAGTCTGGATGTAAAGAAATTTGAATGTTCTAAATGCAATGGTTATTTATGTTTAATGCCAAATGCTAAAGTGTTTTGCAAAATTTTACGCATAAATTTTCATACACAGATGTGTGTACATTTTAAGCCGTTGCAAGAAAAAATCACATAGTTAACAGCATAACATACTTATAGTCGCAATGTTAACAATAAAATTATTTAAACAATTTTTTTTATTTCATTCGTATATATATTCGCTTATAATGACTAATTTCTTGTTATCCTACATTTTTCGATTAAAAACAAAAATTCTGTCCAAATTTACCATAAGAAATAGTTCATAACAATAAGAAATTTATCATAGTTGTTCAACTAAAATGGTGCGTACATTTTTTGTTGCAAATTATTATTTAGAAATCAAAAAAACTCAAATAAATAGAACAAAAAGCTACTTATATTTACCAGGTGTACTCCAATCTTTATTTCCCAGTTCTTTACTTTTCTCTACTTGAATTTTACTATTTAAAAACTCTATTTCATCAAGTATTTTGTTTTTTTCGTCATTCAGGGATTTTAATTGCTCATTGACCCTTTTTAATTTATTTTTATATATCAAAAGTTTCTCTGAAAATTACATTAGTATACGATTAATATTTTAACATAACCTTCAAATAAGCATTCGATATTTATATTTATTTATTCAAACCTTCAAGCACATTCATTTTAGTTTGATTAATTAGCACTATCTTAAAATATTATTTAATCAAATAATTAGATATTTGAACATTTTTGGAATAAGTTATAATAATTCAATACGGCGTCTAACCCTACTTATCTAAACTCAGATTTTAACATTTTAACCGTTGAATATTTGACAGTTGCACCCCCTGACCTCTAGCGCCCGTTAACAAGAAACTACTACCTTGGATTCGAGCCCATGTTTTTTTTTCTTCGGGCTGAGTCTTAAACGGGGTGGCAACGGAAAAGGGTTAAAAAAAAAATCACAAAATATTACAAAGGGGTGGGGGAGACTGGTAAGATATCACGTGTATTTATTTTTGACCTGATTTTGAAAAAAAAAGAAAAACAACAAAAAAATGTATGATTATTTCTAGGTGGTTAAGGATGGTTAAGGAGGCGTCCATTAATCACGTGATCGATTTTTAAAGATTTCTGGACCCCTCCTCGACCTTGGTGATACGTGGAGATATTCAAGATTAAGCCCCCTTCCCCACCCAACACCACGTTTATTTTTAGTATCTGAAACAATAGTAAAATATTTTGATTTCTTTTAATAATTTTTCTTTTTTTAAAATTTAGGTAAAAAATAAATACGCGTGATATATTACTAGATTCTCCCTCCCCCTTATAATATTTCGTGATTTTTTGTTAAACCTGTTTAGTTTCCACCCCTAGGGGTCTTAAAAGCTTTTAAGACTCAAAACCCATAAAATATGTGACATGGGATACTGCTGCTGTATTCTACAGAAAAACTCAAAAGATCATTTAAGTGAATACTCAATAATCATTTAAGGTAGTAAGTGCCAGGAAACAAAAAATATAAGATTTTAAATATCATTTAGAAGAATTTAGAGATCAGAGATTTTGCCGTTTTTTTAATTTTTTTCAATATTTTGCTATTTGACCCGCAATTTTGACTTCAGATTTGTGTTTAGTGGTAAAAACTAAATTGGAAAACATATGCCGCACACATAATAAGAACAACTTTTTTTCGTAGACCTGTGTAATTAAAAGCTGTTATATGAATTTGCAATATATACGATATATATATAATATATAAATTTAAAAATTCAATATGATATAATATTTCATTATTGAATGCGGGGGTTACATGGGCAACCAAATTGGGTTTTTGCAACTATTATTTATATGTTATAGAAGAAACTTTAAATGCTATCAATAATATTTGTTAATATTTTTTTCTAAGTAAACTATAAATCTTATCATTTTTACCTGCTTTTTGTGTTACAATTTTTAACCCGAGAAATAAAACTAACTTGAAAAATATAATGTTGGTGGATATTAACAATAAATTAAAAATTAACTTTATAGATATTTTTTGAATTATGGTTTGAAAATCAAATTATTTTTGACTAGAGTTGCTAATATAAACCAAAAATATACATTTAAAACCATACATTTTTATGATTCTTCATTTCTTTCCACACTTGTACTATATACATTTATATGATTATTTTTTTCTTCCCACACTTGTACTGAAAAATCATTAGTTTTAAGGAATATGATTTATTTAAGGAAAGATGTGATAGTAAAAATGGTTTTCCAAAATATATAACAGTTAAAATTCAGTAGTTCAATTTTAAGTAGTTAGTATTTAGTAAATATTAAGATAACAAATTAAAAATAAAATGTAAAAACGTAATAAAAAGATTTCAGTCAACCTATTTTGACCGGTGGCAATCGAATGCGCACTCCCGGGCGCGATCCGACTACCGCTCGCAACGGGGGCTTTTGGCTGCTGAGTTTCCTCTCTGGCCCGATTCGCCCCTCCTTAGCCAACCTGGCCACCTCAGGCTCCCCCAAGGTGTCCATGTCGATTGCGAGATTAGTGCGGACGCTCAGTCAACATGCGCTAAACAACTGCCATTATCCCAATCTCAAGGCTTCCACGAAATCAGACCTCCCAGAAGCTAGGATTACAAGAAACGCCACGCTCTCGGTCAAAAAATACCAAACTCAGCACTTTTGACAAAATGATGAATATTAGCACATTACACATAAATGGTATTCTAAAATAAAAATGTTAATTGTTAATCAAAAGTAGTAGAAGAAGCTTCCAAGTTCACTATTAATAAATGTTAAACGCATTTCTATTATAGCCTATCTATTTTACAAGTTAGATCCTAAATCATTATAACACATATAAAATGTTGTACTTTCGACCGAGAGTGTGGCGCCTCTTGTAATCCTAGCTTCTAGGAGGTCGGATTTCGTGGAAGCCTTGAGATTGGGTTAATGGCAGTTGATTAGCGCATGTTGACTGAGCGTCCGCACTAATCTCGCAATCGACATGGACACCTTGGGGGAGCCTGAGGTGGCCAGGTTGGCTGAGGTGGGGCGAATCGGGCCAGAGAGGAAACTCAGCAGCCAAAAGCCCCCGTTGCGAGCGGTAGTGGGATCGCGCCCGGGAGTGCGCTTTCAGCGGCCACCGATCAAGACGTGCTGACCGAAATCTTTTTTTTTTAGGATAAATATACTATTTTATATATTACTTATTTTTAATATATAAGGCAAAGCTTAAGCCTAAGAGTATAAAAAAAAATGCATGCGGGCGCAGTGGACTCCAGGGCCTCATTTATAAAATACAATTTATGAAGACAATGAAGCACATCATATATATAAGCCAAAAAGATGCATGTGTATTTAAACAAATGATATTATTAAATAATTTTTATTATATATTATAATTCCTATTCTATTTACAATTATATTAAATTTTAAAAGTGGCGGAATACAAACATCATGATGTTCTTACATAATATCACGATATTAATTGGTTACGTTCGTTAGTCAGATTACATTGTTGATTTAAATCATATTTGATATGCAATAATAATTTTCGACCTTTGTATTAAATACATTATAAAAACTTTTTAACAGAATTTTAACTGACTTAAAGCCGTTAAAACCTATTATTGATGATTGAAACATATTTCCATTTTATTGAGGCTTATTTTCTGTTGACCATTATATTATCAGGTTCAGTTGCATACCGCTTCTGAAAAGATAAAAAGAACATTTTCAATATAATTGAAAAAAAAACATATATAAATATATATTAGAATATTATTATAATAATATTATTTACATTCGATTACACTGAAGAAAAAAGTCATTTTTATGAAAGTGTAAATAAATATAAAATATCAAACCATATTTTATCAATAAATTTATGTGTAATTATTTAGGCATTAGTGGACATAGACATAGCTCAGTTAGTAGCATGTCCGACTCACACGCCGGAGATCGTTGGTTTGATTCTTGGCATATTCTATAAAAAAAATATGAATTGTAATTGAATACATTCGTATATAGAAGTATGTAAAAATGGAAAAAGTTTGATAGAATCCCAATATCATATAAAAAGTTCGATAGAATTAGAAGAAGACTATTACTGGTATAAGAAAAGAGAATTCGTAAAATTAAGGTAATGTAAAATATTGAATAAAAAAGAATATAAAAAATAAAAAAATATGTAGGTAACTAAATGTTAGTCCAAGTCCAAGAAAAAAATGGCCAATGGTATATTTATATTACATCTCATTAGGTTATATAAATGGCCATAATTTTCATTGTTTCCAAATGATTGACACGATATAAGTTATCATTGGAACGATATTTAAAATGTCTAATTAATGGATATGCCTCAAAAGGTTATTATAATATCGATATAAAAAAGTTTTTGAATTATGCAAAATGAGGAGCACAAATTGAAAAAAAAAACTTATTTAAATACCAAATTCAGACGATATAAAAAAAAACATGCTTATTGTTAGTACAATACTGCAGAAGCTGCCTTGAAAAGTGTGTCATTTTTATTACCATAATGATGGCCATTAGGAAATGAAAGACGAACCATCGTGATATGGAATTACTTAATAATTAATTAACAGTTTTAAGATAATTGAAAACATAATACCATGGTATTTATATGTTGTAACGCGATTTAGATTAAAATATTAATGATATTACGAAACTAATATGTATAAGTTAAACACATTCTTAATGCTTAATAACCGTAAAATATGCTAAATAACAGTAAAAAAAATAGTAATTGCGAAGTCAATGGCATTATAATAAATACAACTACATTATTTTACAACCACCTTATATGCTAATAAGTTGTTGCTAAAATGTTAAATAATCAATAAAATAGTTGTTATTTGTAATGTTGTAATATTGGAAGCGCCAGTTGTAATAAGTGGAATGAACCGAAAAGTTGCATGAAGTTTGCGATATGTGTGAATAATCGGCTGAAGCAGTAAACTGTAATTGACGAATATACTAGTCATGGAAGAGTGGCAAAATTTTGTGTACATATTAACGTCTGTATTCGACTTACGTTTAAAAAAGTAACAATTTGCGTTTAAAATTATTGAATTTGAATTACACTTAAAACTTTTGAAATAACCAAAAAAATTTTATTGTTGTCAAGATGTGACATGATGATATAAAATAAGTAGTTGTATGGGGCATTTTGCCTTAAGACAAATTGCAAAGACTTCGCGAAGCGTGGAAAAAATATACTTATTCAGTAAGAATTAAGATTTAGCTATTTAAATAACTTATTTTCATTAAAAACTATTCTTAGTTTCTTACAAATTTAACATTATGACTGCAGGAGACGACAACGTGTCGACATCCTGTACCCCTGTACCTCTCACCTGGTGGGGCTGTCAACGTGTCGCACACTGCCGGATTTCTTTTTAAACTCTGTTTTATTCAGTAATCAGAAATACATAAAGATTCCTAAAATCTAAATTGACAATATTTGAGAGCGATGTCTAAGTCTAAGAAGAACTCCAGTTAGATCTTCTTAGTTTAGCAATTGATATGATAATGTTATATTGAAGCTAATCTAAGACTAAATCTAAAGGCCATTGACGTTTCAATCTTCTTACGCCAAATGGTTGGGTAATGTCGCCTATTGATGGGTTTGAATGTGAACACTGTCGAACGTACCACATTTATTTTAAATCTATTTTCAAATTATCAGCATAGTAAAAACAACTAATTAGTCGAAGAGCTCATAGAACAAAAGACGCTACCGCCACTGAATTAAGTACTGGTTTGGTGTTTTTTGAACATTTTACTCAAAAGGTAAGTTTGTACATTCGTATTCTTACTTTTATGCATTTTAACGCATATATTTTATGCATATTTGCAATAAGCTTCAAAACTATTTGGTTCTAGTTTGTTTTATTAGTCGCCTAAATGAAATAATAACATCAGTTATAAACCGGTTAGCAGAAAAAACTCAAAAATGATGATGATACAATTGAATTAGGGAAAAATAAAACTATTTTTTAAATAAAACGTTTAGCGTAGTAAAACGGTACTGATCTAAAGTCCTCCGCAGTCAAGATGTTGATTCGTTTTTAGTTTAAAACGTATGTAATATATACGAGTATACTAATGTTAGCAAAGAAGTATAATGTAGTAATAACAATCAATTCAGTTTTGTAAAATAAATCAAAATTTTTCATCAGTTGTCTTAGCTGTACAACTTGACGAATTTTTAGACTAGTTTGACGAATATACTCGTTAGTGGGCATCTATTAATCACGTGATCGATTTTTTAAGGAATTTTTGACCTTCCCTCTCCCTTGGTGATGTGCGGTGATATTCAAAATTGCCTCCCTCCTTCACCAAACATCACGTGTATTTGAGAATAAAATCACGTAGTTACGAGAATAAAATGTAAAATGTTAGATTTTTTTGAAAATTTTTGGATTTTTTTTTAAATGCAGGTAAAAAATAATTACACGCATTATCTTACTATACCCCTCCATCCCCAACCATCTAGTAACCAGTTATTAGTTAACTTACCATTATCCTGTATTTTTCTTTGCAAGCATATTCCGTTTCGTCGACGTCCTGGTAGCAGTCTGATCTGTAGCTTTCGGGCAAGGTTTTACCTTCGAACTCACATAGTTTGTGAATAGGCCTTGATCTAAAATATAATAGATAAAGGTTAGCAGAGTAAAATAGTATGATAAACATATTTTTGAAATTATTTAAAATATTCTACGACTTGTATATGATAGTTGTTGCATAAAATATATTTGTTTCCCTTTGCATGCCCGCTGCCCATTACCAACAAGCATTTGAAATTAAGAACCAAATTCTATTAATTAATTAATGAGCGACAATTTCAAACCGCTCTGGCAAAAAACAAAATGCTTGTAAATATCAAATGGAATCTCAAAACCCTCACAGGAAAATGATTAAAATGGGTATTATAAGGTGTTAATTGAAATACGAATTTTTGAGGGTAAAAGAAAAAAGTTTCATGCTGTGTAGAGATAAATATGAAGTTTCAATTCAATAAGCACAATCTTATTAAGTATTTTATTCTATTATTAGCTTCTTCGAAACTAAGCTATTTAGTTATAGTATATAATTTAATTATGATAGTGCCAGATAGTGAGTTTTTCTTTAGTCTTTTTCGGGGTTTGAATTTAAATAAATTACTTTGCGAAAAAGGGCAACAAATGCGTCATAAGTGTTATATATGATTTTATAAATATTTATGAATGTATAGGAATTCTCATTTAATATCTAGCAATATCCGATTCGCTAATTTTATGTTTTCACGACGTTTCTAGCCATTCTGAGTCGAATGAGACCAAATTTGGAAAAAGTATGTGTGTGTGTGCGTGTATGTGAACAGATTTTTTGCCGTAAATCGACCTTTTCTCAAAAACGGTTGGACCGATTTCAAAAAATTAAAAGCCATTCGATGTATTTCGATAAGGACTAGCGTTTCTGTGTTTTAAGTGACGATCGGTCGAGCCGTTTCTTTGTAAATAGTAGAAAAATGGAAAAAATTCGTCCACGTTTTAGCCCGCAATTCTTAATCGATTTTGAAAATTCAAAAACCGTTTGAAAGATATTGGTTGGGAATCGTGCTGATTAGTTTTTGGTAAAGATCGGCCAGGCCGTTTTCTTGTAATAAAGTTTTTTTTAAAAAAAATCGACGATTTTTATTATTATTTTTTTGACGGTAGATACCAAAGTCTTCTAGATCATACTAAAATATTACAGCCCTACGACAACTCGTTTAGCTTTAAAAATTCATCAAAATTTGCAAAAATTAGGATCGTTTTTTTGGCTTTTATCAAAATTAGACCTTTGATTGACGTTTTCTCAAAAACACCTGAACCGATTTCAGAAATTTAAAAGCCATTTGATGTATCTCAATGAGGACTATCGTTTGTCAGTTATGTAAGACGATTTGCCAAACCGTTTCTTTGTGATTTGAAGAAAAGTGTTAAACTTTTCATCCACATTTGAGCTCAAACTACCGAATCGATTTCAAAAAATCAAAAACTGTTTGAAAGATATTTGTTGGGAATGATACTGATTAGTTTTAGGTGAAAATCTACCGAGCCGTTTTCTTGTAATTAACTGTTGAAAAAAAAATTGAAGCCGATTTTTATGGAACTTTTTTTGGCGATATATATCACGGTCTTATAGAACTTGCTAAAATATTACTGCCTCACAAAAGGTAGTTTAATTTTAAAAATTCATCAAAGTTTGAGTAAATGAGTAGTTTATTTTGACGTTTGTTAAAATTAAAATTAAATGATTTACTTGGTATAGCAATAGATTGCTTGCTCTTAATGAACATACTAAATCATTAACGTCCTACGAAAACTAGTTCAATTATAAAAATTTTTGATTTGTGAAAATTTGCTTTTAGAAAATACTCCGAGTTAACGTGTTTGTTTGTTTTCAATTAAGTGTAATAAATTCACTCGGAATACTTCTAATCACTCATAAATTATTTGTTTATCATTGATTAAGCCGATTATTTACACATATCGGGATGTTCATGTAACTTGCCTCAAGGCTAAATACCAATACCAACTAGTTTTAGATATTATCTTATATTCAAAATGAACACTTTTTTATATATATGATACTTTCACTAAAAATAATAATGTATGATGCTGTAAATTAGAGATGTGTATGGTAGTGTGTATATGCCCTGTGTATATAAAAAACTAAAAAAAATGAAGTAGATACCTAATATCTAGAGTGTTTAGTTTAAAACATTATTAATTTCAATGCTTCGAAGATATTCAATTTTGTTACTCTAATAATAAGTGAATTTCTTTCAATTTTCAAATAAATTATAGGAAAAATATGGATAAAATGTTACATGGATAAAATGAAACTTCGGCCTTATTTAAAAATTGGCTAGTTTCATTAACGTTTCCAAGACTCTACAACGCCATAATAGTAATCCTGTCAGATGTTGAGCGTCATTGTCACATTGTTGCAGTAATCAGTTCAAACATGTTTTGCCTCTGAATTGCATTTAAGCTTATTTTCCTATTCATTGATATTCGTACCTATTTATTATCATAAGAACCCTAGTCATTGTGTTATTTTGTACCAGTTAAAGTTAAAAACTCTACTAAATTGAAAAATGTAGAATGACCGTGATAAATATACATTTATTTATATTATAATTACGATTAAATTTGCTTTAACATTTAAGAATAAATGATTAAATTTATTTTAAATGCTTTTAAACGCAGAGCATTGTAGTTTAAGTAATTAGTTACATGATTAACATAATTAAGACCTATATATTGTTATTATTTCAGCTGTTGCTCACCGTACTATCAGCTTGTCGAAACCAGTTGGTTTGTGGGTGGGACAGTAGAACACATCTGGTGTATTCTTATCAAACACGATTGATTTCCTCATCATATCACCTCCATAAGCAGTTGCTATCATACAAGCCAGTAAGACAAAACTAAGTTTTTCTGAAACAACAATAATTATTTATATGATTACTATTATCGCATCTATTGTTCAAAGCCCTATGACAATCTGAATTGCAATTTAAATAATAATACTATTCAAATATATATTATTATATGTATTATGGTTTTTAAATTTGTGGATTAAAATCCTCCTTTTAGCTAAAAAATATTTATTTAATTCAATTGGTTTATTCAACATTTCAGGGATATAAAATATTCCCTTCTTTGGGAACTTAATATCTAATTATTTTTCAAATCAAGCATCCAACAAACATCCAAACACACAAAAGCACGTATGTATTTTCTTGATACATTTTCAAAAGTAGTTTTGATGCTTTGTTAGGTTTGTTGGGTGTTTAAATCCTGATAAAAGCAACATCCTATATTCCTGGAACATTGAATTTAAAAAATACATAAATAATTTTTTGAACAAATAAGGAAGTTTTTAGTGCATTTTTAATAAATAGAAAAAAACAAAAATAGTTTTGTTGTATTGTACGTTATTATTTTGGAAAAATGATTAAATAAATTTCGATGGTTCAAAAAACATTCGATTTGTATTTTTTTATGCGCGGGCGCTCATTAGTTTCAAAGATACGCCGAAATAAGTGCTAAACTAGCCATTTTGGTACTAAAATCAGTTTATATATGTGGGAGTAGTAATAAATATTAAAGTATAAACTCCCATCATATAAAAATATATAAATTTTATTTATTATAAAATATTACTGATATCAAAATATATAATATGACAAGTCCAATTGTTTTTTTACACTCATCTTGACTAACCTGCTTGATCCCCACATATATATGTTTATCAAAATATAAGATTTTTTATAGAGATTGCCATATTGTACGTATACATTTTTCATTAAAGTCCTTACCAATAAACAAAAACTTTCAAATTCTTATAAGATTCAAAGTATGCTTGCAAGATTCCATCTAAGTAAACATTTCCAATATTCCTTGAAATTTGTCTCTGAAGAATTCAGAAATCAACATTAGAGAGTTACATATTTCAATGTACTATATGAAATTAACAAAAAATAAAACTATTTTATAAAAAAGCTGATCAAATGCTAATTACCTATATTTAAAAAACTAGTTTAAATTTCAGTGATATTATAATTATCTAATAAAAGCGTATTATATTCTTATACAATATAATGTTCTGTATTATATACATTTTTGCCGTCTATGAAATCATTTCTTAATTTCGTGATCGGATATGATTTTTCAGCATTGGATAACACAATTTTGGGCATTACCGTTTTGATAATTTTGGGCTTCGATTTTAATTAATATTATGTTATAAAAAATTTAAGATATGTATAAATTATAAGGAAAGCATTATGAATAGATCACCAATTCGGAAATAATAATATTATCGTCAAATCATCTTGAGAATATATTTTATTATCATAAAATTTAATTAATTCAAAATACATCACCTATTAGAGAAAATTGTTTTGAAAAACCTTCTATTATTTTATTATATTATTGAAATAATTTCTAAATATACACGAATACAAGTTTTTATTGTACATTCATAATGTGTAAACTTATTATTTTTTCCATTGTACATCGATTCACATCTATTTAGAAAAAAATAAAGAGGTGTATAAGGAAATAACATGTCCTCCCACACAAGATTCACACACTGTTTTCTATTTTCACTAACAAGAGAAAGTTTATTAAATAGAGAATATATATATTGAAAGGTTTGAAAACAAATTTCATGATGATAGATACTGTTATTATGATATTTCGATGTGATATTTATGAATTAGTGATGTAATCATAAAGTTTTTTTTGTAATTACTTATACAAAGAATTAATATAATAATATATATATAATTTCATATGAGCAGAAACATACGAAATCTCACACGATAGCAACCTTGTCCCTTCCACGTAATTTTATAAACAAAATATTAATTGTATAATAACTGCTAATATATGAAAGCTTGTATAATAACTGCTACTATATGAAAGGGTTCGTCGTGGCGAAGGTCGTTAACGCGTTGACTTTGTATGAACAGGGTCGCGCGTTCGATTTCCCGGTCTGGCAATCTGACATCGGGCAGCGCGATGTCCATTTTCAATTGAAAATATAGTTCAAAATATGTTTCCAATTGAAAGTAAGCCCATCTCGGGCACTGCGGTGTGAAATGGCAGGGAAATCTCTCACACTATTCTTCCCTGAATCGAGTTGGTGTTTTAACTCAGCTCACGGACCTGCCCTCTAGGGCAGTACCTCCATTATTTATTTATTATTATATGAAAGCTACCGCAGTACTTAATGAATTAGCCCTTTTTATAAGCTCTATTATCCGATAAGTTTGAAAACACATGTATAATCGCATAATTCTAATTTGCAAAATATTATAAAAGAAAACTAAAATATGTTTCTTAAAATAATTTTAAATTATATCCAAATGTTCGCGCCCAAATTTGACTCTTCCTCAGTGGAAGAAAATTATAATATAAGGCAAAATTAGAGTTGAAATATTACACATAAGTAAGGCTTATCTTATATATAAAATTCTTATGTAATTATGTATGAAAGGATACTCGTCCTAAACGATTATTCGAATTTTGATAAATCTTTCTGAAGTTTGTTAAGGGAATTTTTTAGGGTTGTTTAAATTATAGAAATATAGTTAGATTGTAAAAATAAATATCTTATGCTAAGACCATAAAAGAAAGGACATTAAATAGAATATTAAAAAGTATAGGATAGGATATTAAAAAATTTGGAACTTGAATTGTAGGCGTGGGTACAGGCATGGTACAGGACAATGTCTGGCGGGTGTAAATATAGTGTGAGAAGTAGTTAGTTTCTCGTAGTTTTTGTTCCACTGAGGAAGAGTCAAATTGGGACTAGAAACATATGGATCTATTAAAATAATTTTGAGAAACATATTTTAGTTTTCATTTTATTTTATTATCTGGGTGTATTCCTGCTGAGATATATTTTGTTCAATCAACATATTTATCACGATCTAAAAATATACACAGACACACGCACACACACATATTATATTTAAATTATTTATATATATTATATATAAATAGCCTATGATTTTATTCTGGATAATATGAAAGTCTTCGCAAAATTGGATTAGTCATAATCGCTAATGCAAATTTCAAGAATACGTTCTCAAATTGAGTGCCGTTATTATACAATTAATAATTTGTTTGTAAAATCACGTGGGAGGGACAAGGTTGTTGTTGCTATCGTGTGAGATTTCGTATGTTTCTGCACATATGAAATTATATTAATTTTGAGTGTAATTAATTACAAGGAAAAATTTATGATCACGTCACTAATTCAGAAATATTACATGGAAATATCATAAGAACAGTATTTATCATCATGAAATTTCTTGGCATTTCAAGTAGTAAATCTTTTTCACTTAAGTTAATATTCTTGTGGATTGTAGATATTAACATATATATGAAATCAATTCGGTATTTACATAAAATAAAAATTAAAATTTTAAATATTTATAGCTAATTTTGTAATTTTTTACATTTGTTTTCCTCACTACTTAAATTGTTGGAAGAAAGTGAATATATATTAGGAGACCCCAAAACTAATTTTGATACAGGGCTATGACGTTTTATTCAATGTTTTTGATTTTTTTTTTGTTCATTAAACATTGTGTTTAAATTTGTGCGTGTTTTTTCCTGGTTTAGAATGTGTTAACTTGCTGATTGATTACACACATACAGTGTCGAAACGTACATAATAAATAGTTAAATTATTTATCACTTTTTATTTCGACTATTTGGCTGCATTAAGGATTTCATAAACAAAAAAATCTGAAGTTTATAATATATATATATATATATATATATGTGTGTGTGTATACATATATATTTATATATTGGTTATGCGCAAATAAGCTTGTGGGTGGATGATCGTGACAGCCTGCGCCCACATTTAACTTAAAATTTTGATATTTCTTCGTTAATATAATGGTTACTAACCAAATTTTAATCTTCATGTTGAAAAATAATGATATATTTACTAAAGGTCAATTTAATGGTTTTTTTTCCAAACTGAAAGCACCAACATTTTTCTATAACTATATATTAAATTGATATAAACTTGAATAATATTAATAGAAGGACTAGTAAATTATATTAATAGTAATATAATTTGTATAATATACGGTTAATAAAGAACTATAATATTGTACATTGTATAACTTGTATATACATATTTACACATATATACACACACAGATATATATATATATATATATATATATGTATATATATATATATATATATATATATAAGATACTAACAGAATCAATTATTCCGATCACATTTTCACGAACTGATAAGAGAAGAGAATAACATTTTATTTACACACACATTATTTTTCACAAAGACTTCACCAACGTATATCTCGTAGTAGCATAAGAAACAATACATTGCGCAATTACGAATATAAATTAAAGAAACTAAAAATCTTACCCATATTGTTTTCTCTAATAGAACTTTATTTATAATAACTTATATTGAGTATTTTGTTGTAAATGTTAACGTATAACCTTCAACACCTGAACTGCACTGAGCGAAAACTTGTCCGTCCATCAACCGAGAAAGTCGCTGCTGCTTTGGACGTAACACTTGAAGATGGAACTCTGAGAAATCGACCATCTCCCATATGTATTCTTCACTAACGGTTTCTCGACGGTTGTTGGTAATTCCGCCTGCTTTTGTTTTATTCTTTGAGAATAGAAATAGCACATGCCTAAGCTTAATAACACCTTTTTCCATTCATATACTCAGTTTTCATACATGTAATTAATTCTATGTATACTCATAAGATGTTGCAAAATGAAATTTTTTAAATCATTTATTAATATCAATATAGAACTAGTGGGGTGCATGACATCGTGCCTTGAGGCAAATTGCTGGAACTTCCCGTACCGTAATTAAAAATCTTGGTACGAAACCCAAAAAAATTTACACAAAATGTGTACACATTATTAAAATTTCTATAAAATTAATTATGCCCAGTATACATTTTGGACCGCCAAATGATATTTTTTAACTTAAATTATTGAGAGTCCATAACCGCTGGGCCTGCTTTCATAAAAATTTGAACAGTTCTTCATCTTGTTTAAACAAGTAAAATATTTTTTGAATTATTAAAATCGGACGCTCCGTTCTCAAAAAATGAGCTATCATTTTTGGCACTTTTTGCTCCGTATCTTTGGAACGGCTAGACCTGCCTTTGCCAAAAACTAATCAGCACGTCTCCTTATCAATACCAATCGAATGTTTTTGGATTATTCAAATCGGTTGATCGGTGTTCCCGAAATCGTCGACAAAATTTCATATCCGCACACGCATACATACACACACACATATACATCCATTTTTTCTAAATGTAAGGTATGCCAAAATATTCAGAAACCTTTGGAACGTAAAGATATATAAAAATTTTCATTTTCGATTTTTTATGCGATTACTATAACTTACCCTTACCGGAAGTATGCATATAATATATATTGATATAATAAAAAATATAAAGTACGCATTATACTTACTTCATGTTTTTCATAAAATAGTATCTTCTTTTTATTTATTGCGATGAAAAATTGTTCTTACCGCTAATGTAATATATTTCTGTAATTTGATGAGTGTTATCCATTAATTACGGTATGTTATAGTAATCGATCAAAAATCAAAATTTTTTGCATATATATCAGGGGTTTCTGAACAATTTTGTATATCGTAGAAAAAACGGATGTATGTTGTGTGTGAATGTAAAGATACAATTTTTTGTCCACGTTTTCGAGAGCAAGGATGAACCGTTTTGAACCATTCAAAATATATTCAATTCGTATTGACGGGAGAACGTGCTGTTTTTTGGCAAAGGCAGGTCTAGCCGTTTCAGAGATACGAAGCCAAAAGTGCCAAAAAGCTCTTTTAAAGAGAACGGATCATCTGACTTGAATGATTCAAAAAACATTATGCTTCAAAAAACATTATGGGTGCTGAGCCTACCCATCAATTCTCAAAATATGATAGGGCCTAATAGGTGTAACTTAAAAAAACAAACCCACTGGCTGCCTATCACAAAAAAACGAGCCCACCCATCAAAAATTTGCTTCCGACGCCACTGTGCTTGTGTTGACATCGTGAAAGAATGAGATTTTTTTCTGGATGTAAAACATTTTTTTTTATAAAATTAAAAATTTAATTTTAAAAAATATATTAATCGGAATTTCACTTCACTTATTAATCGAAAATAAATAATTTTAACTATACCATTCAGTTTTCTTAGAAATATGGAATATAATTATATTCATTCTGTCTAGGATTGATTAAGTTTTGTTCATTTACTTTTATGTAAACTTACATAAACGTCATTGTCCAATTTATAAGCTCTTATATTTTGTCTATATAAAACGAATAATAAAAGTTACAGTCAGGGCAGGATTTAGAAATTTGGCGCCCTGGGGCAGTGACAAAAATGCCGCCCCATTCCAGGATTTTTACTTAAATAGTTTTTATATAAAAAATCATTTCAAATTCATTACGTATTACATACTATAAATAGTGGTTCTTGGCATCACACATTAAGGCAAATTGCTGAAACATTCTGTACCGAAAATTAAAATTAAAAAAAAATTGAAACATTTTGAAAACTTTGAAAAAATTGAGTTTTTTATATTTTTCTAAAGCGATCGCGCTGCTTTGGCTGCGTAGAGGCATGTAATTTTCAGCACTGAAAGCTTCGGTAACTTGCCTTAAGACATAATGCCATGCGTCACTAGTTTAATTTTTATTTTGGCGCTATAAGCTTGAAAGTGCACAAATTCGTCATCTTAAGAGTGCTCGAAAACTGAATAACATATATTTCTTAAACTTTCAGCTTGTTTACCAATCTTTTTATTAGCAAAATTGCCAAATTATGCCGCCCCCGAAAATTTGCCGCCCTAGGCAGTAGCCCTGACTGACCCTACTGTAAATCCAGCACTGGTTACAGTATTTACAATAATATATATATAAAAACATTCATAATTCTTCGAATATTTCATTATGATACGAGAAGTTCTAACGACTCATGCACAACTAGTTTATTTAAAAATTGTATTCATTATAACTATATAACTATCAAGGGGAGATAAAAATTATTATGTGAGAGAGAGTTTAAAATTCTGAAGACGTTTAATAATAGAAAAGTTTATTACCACTCGATGTGTTAATGTATTCCTGAATTTGGTTATAGTAGTTTTTTCATACACCTTTCTTATTTCAACATATTTTAAAATGGTTACAACACTAATAACACATATTTGAGCTTTTCAACTTTTTAGATGTTAATATAACATGTTAAAATAACTGGAAAAAAATGTGGAACGCTTCACGATTTTGCGTGTCATCCTTGCGCAGGGGCCATGCTAATCTTCTCTGTATCGTTCCAATTTTAGTATATGTTCTGCCGAAGCAAGAACACTTCACAACGTTCCCAAATTGTATTTATACTTAAACATTCTAGCTATACGCCACAACGCGAGTTAATCGCGAGGGGTTGTAGCGCCATCTGTTAGAATTATGGTGACAATTTTAAATTCAATCTTACAACTTATTATTATAATTTGCATGTTGAATAATATTTAATGAAATCAAAAAAAAAATGTGGAACGCTTCACGATTTTGCGTGTCATCCTTGCGCAGGGGCCATGCTAATCTTCTCTGTATCGTTCCAATTTTAGTATATGTTCTGCCGAAGCAAGAACACTTCACAACGTTCCCAAATTGTATTTATACTTAAACATTCTAGCTATACGCCACAACGCGAGTTAATCGCGAGGGGTTGTAGCGCCATCTGTTAGAATTATGGTGACAATTTTAAATTCAATCTTACAACTTATTATTATAATTTGCATGTTGAATAATATTTAATGAAATCAAAAAAAAAATGTGGAACGCTTCACGATTTTGCGTGTCATCCTTGCGCAGGGGCCATGCTAATCTTCTCTGTATCGTTCCAATTTTAGTATATGTTCTGCCGAAGCAAGAACACTTCTTAACGTTCCCAAATTGTATTTATACCTAAAACATCCTAGCTATACGCCACAACGCGAGTTAATCGCGAGGGGTTGCAGCGCCTTTAAATTCAATCTTACAACTTATTATTATAATTTGCATATTGAATAATATTTAATAAAATCAAAAAAAATGTGGAACGCTTCACGATTTTGCGTGTCATCCTTGCGCAGGGGCCATGCTAATCTTCTCTGTATCGTTCCAATTTTAGTATATGTTCTGCCGAAGCAAGAACACTTCACAACGTTCCCAAATTGTATTTATACTTAAACATTCTAGCTATACGCCACAACGCGAGTTAATCGCGAGGGGTTGTAGCGCCATCTGTTAGAATTATGGTGACAATTTTAAATTCAATCTTACAACTTATTATTATAATTTGCATGTTGAATAATATTTAATGAAATCAAAAAAAAAATGTGGAACGCTTCACGATTTTGCGTGTCATCCTTGCGCAGGGGCCATGCTAATCTTCTCTGTATCGTTCCAATTTTAGTATATGTTCTGCCGAAGCAAGAACACTTCACAACGTTCCCAAATTGTATTTATACTTAAACATTCTAGCTATACGCCACAACGCGAGTTAATCGCGAGGGGTTGTAGCGCCATCTGTTAGAATTATGGTGACAATTTTAAATTCAATCTTACAACTTATTATTATAATTTGCATGTTGAATAATATTTAATGAAATCAAAAAAAAAATGTGGAACGCTTCACGATTTTGCGTGTCATCCTTGCGCAGGGGCCATGCTAATCTTCTCTGTATCGTTCCAATTTTAGTATATGTTCTGCCGAAGCAAGAACACTTCTTAACGTTCCCAAATTGTATTTATACCTAAAACATCCTAGCTATACGCCACAACGCGAGTTAATCGCGAGGGGTTGCAGCGCCTTTAAATTCAATCTTACAACTTATTATTATAATTTGCATATTGAATAATATTTAATAAAATAAAAAAAAATGTGGAACGCTTCACGATTTTGCGTGTCATCCTTGCGCAGGGGCCATGCTAATCTTCTCTGTATCGTTCCAATTTTAGTATATGTTCTGCCGAAGCAAGAACACTTCACAACGTTCCCAAATTGTATTTATACCTAAACATCTTAGCTATACGCCACAACGCGAGTTAATCGCGAGGGGTTGAAGCGCCATCTGTTAGAATTATGGTGACAATTTTAAATTCAATCTTACAACTTATTATTATAATTTGCATGTTGAATAATATGCATTTTGCAATAAAAAAAAAAATGTGGAACGCTTCACGATTTTGCGTGTCATCCTTGCGCAGGGGTCATGCTAATCTTCTCTGTATCGTTCCAATTTTAGTATATGTTCTGCCGAAGCAAGAACACTTCTTAACGTTCCCAAATTGTATTTATACCTAAAACATCCTAGCTATACGCCACAACGCGAGTTAATCGCGAGGGGTTGAAGCGCCTTTAAATTCAATCTTACAACTTATTATTATAATTTGCATATTGAATAATATTTAATAAAATCAAAAAAAATGTGGAACGCTTCACGATTTTGCGTGTCATCCTTGCGCAGGGGCCATGCTAATCTTCTCTGTATCGTTCCAATTTTAGTATATGTTCTGCCGAAGCAAGAACACTTCCCAAAGTTCCCAAATTGTATTTATACCTAAACATCCTCGCTATACGGCGCAACGCGAGCTACTCGCTTAGGGATGTATCGCCATCTCTTATCATCGGTTCATAATGATATTCAATTATTAAATATTCTTTAAAATGATACTTTTTTTTATTTACGTGTTGAATAATATTATTTTTGTGACATCTTAGCGTAGATGAGTTTGAATTACAATTTGATTCATCATCGTCATCAAATCCATTCATATTTCTAAAAATTTGTTTATATATTTTCACTCACCTCAACGCCGTGTTCAATTTTAATAAACCCGTGTCTGCGTATAATTTTGCATAGTAGTTTCGAGTGCTTTCTTTAATAAGAACTGATTCAACTGCTTAGTTTTATAATTTAATATTTCAGATAGCCATTACGTACATTTTTTCTCTTTCTAGGTTTCGTTTCTTCGTAATTAATTGTTGATTTTTTTCGATGATTTTGATGGATTTCGAGGTGATATGTTGCAATCAGCTAGTTATTTTTATACTAAACACTCGAAATATTGGTATGGCAAAACTACATTTGCCGGTTCAGCTCGTATAATATATGATATGCATTCCGTTAGTACAATTCGTTTTATTAACGGATTTAGTGAGCCACTAGCGGATTTCCTTTGAAAACTGTCACATTAGTGAAAAACCTTATGAAGATGTGATGCAGTCCAATCCGTTCATTCGTTAATGATAGATATCTACGCACACGACCGCACGGTGATGCTTCGAGCAATTTGAAGATCCTTTTTTCCACTAAATTGTGTACAGAAAAATGTCTTCTATATTACGTAGTAACAAGTTTGTACGATACTTTTGCGGGATTACTCGCAATTTAACATTGAATGTAAAAGACACCGCCAGTAACACAATTCAACAAAATCTTTATGTTTGCAGCGGCTCAGCCCAGTGAGTGACTAACCTATAATGTTCTTGATAGCATTATGCAATATATTCAATATAATAACATTTAAGTTATTAAGATCAGAATAAGCATAGTTAAATACCTATGATCTATTGACCTGAACACTTGTCATAATTCACCAGCAAATGTTTTCTAACACTGTTATATTAATTGGTCAATTTAAATTTCAGTGGATTTTCTACCTCTATTGCTTCATTTAAACCAAATGAATTCAACTTAGATAAATCTTTACAAAGAATTGATCAAGATGTTCGACGATCAGGCAGGATTTCTAAAAGAGATATTGAAGAAGTTCTGGATGAAATACGTCATAGTCGATCTGCAAATAGTTCTCAGTCTTTACTAGTCATCCGATGTTGTGGTATGAATTATATTTTAACTGTGTATTAATTTGTTTTGTAGTTTGATTATGAACTTATACTGAATGCAAGTGAAAATGGCATAATTTCTTTAAGAGTTGAGAAATTGACTGAATCTTTGAATTTTTTTTTAAAAATGGCCAAAATAAATTGGTGTTAGTTATAACAGATTATATCTAAGTATGCACAAAATATATTCAATTAACCTTTCATAATTTGTGATCTCAAACATCTCATAAATTCATTGAATACAAAACTAAGCGAGGATATTTGATATAAAACCTTTGGATTAAATTTAATTAAATTCAGAAATGAAACATTCTAGAACAGATGTTAATATATTATATGTTATGCACTAATAATATATTTTATATATAATAATATTACACAAATAACGTAATTGCTAATATCTTCCTAAATATGGGAGTAGTTTCTAGTTTTCATTTATAAAGGAAAGTTATACACTTACATACTGAGAGTAACAGTTAATGTATTTAATTTTGTATATATGTATATAAATATATGGTAGTCTGACCAAAGGCAGGTCTATGGTTTGAAAGCCCTTTTCCTTTCTTCTTTATTATTCCCATTACTATTTTATCATAAATCAACACTTTTTATACGCTTTTATGAAATTTCCTTTGCTAACTTCTGCTTCCATATTTCCTGTGCTTTTTGCATTAGGTTTCCTATATTTTCTCTTCTGCCAAGATAATTTTTTTTTTTTATTATTTTAGTTTTTAACATTAACTTTAAGAATTTAACTTCAATATGAAGTAATTGTCAAATGTTTTATTTTATAATTAAATTAATAACAATAAATCTAGGAAATTTGGTACCTGAAGAATTGCCAGAAGTACGAACACGACTGGTAAAAGAAATATGGAGCACACTTGAGAGACTTAATGTTCCGATGGATGTATCTCACTATAATGCCCTGTTAAGAGTATATTTGGAGAATGAACATAAATTCTCACCAACTGAATTCTTAGCTCAAATGGAAGCTAAAGGAATTGAGCCCAATAGGTGCCTATATTTTCTTTTTTTCTACCTATTATATCAATCTTGTGGCAACTTTCATATTATCTACAGGGTAACTTACCAGCGGTTAATATCACAATATTGCCAAGAAGGTGATATCGAAGGAGCTACAAAAATTTTAGAATTCATGAGAGAAAAAACAGTTACCAGTAAATGAAAATGTATTCAATGCTCTTATAGTCGGCCATTCACAAGTAGGGTGAGTAACTGACACAATTTTTAACAAGAAATCAAATTTTTACAAGAATCAAATAGTACTGAAATGTATTCTTTTATCATATTATTGATATTATCAATACTATTTTTATATTTTTATCTTTTAGAGATATGGATTCAGCTAAAGACATTTTAACAGTGATGGGACAAGCTGGCCTTGAACCGAGCGCAGATACTTATACCGCTCTAATGTGTGGATATGCTAAAAAAGGAGATATAGAATCTATAAATAATATTCTACAAACCTGTGAAAGTAAAGAAATATATTTTTGGATAAAGACTTTATGGATATTGTGTATACTCTTACAATAAATGGACACAAGGATAAAATAGATTCCATATTGAATTGTGTAAAAAAATCTTTTGCTATAATCATGATGCAATTAATGTTATTTAAGATTAATAAACAATGGTTATGAAGATGTCGGTTTAACAATAATGAAAACAATGGTAAGGCCAGACAAAATTGAAGAGTCTTCAAATAGCACTCTGGGTACATTCTTCATTCGACAGCTGATCAAAGCAAACAGACCTTTGATTATGTTATGAAAATTGTTAGGCAATTAGAGGAGGAGGGGATAAATAATAAAGCATTTTATTGCAATGGAAAATGCTTTCCAACATGGAAATATGGAAACAGTTTTGGGTGCTCTTAATGAGCTAAAAAAGGCTGGAGAAACAATAAGACATCATTATTTGTGGCCCCTGATCTGTCGTGTGAGTAAAGAAAAGGATGATGAGAAAATCATTCAAGTTTTACGCATGTATATGCATTTGATTTAATACCAAATGGAGAAACTTTGAGAGATTATGTTTATGAAAATCTGCAAGAGAAGAATCCGCATCGAGCCATCAGTTTGATTCGAACTGCAGGCCTTTCAGAAGCTTTATGTGCAAGCACTTCAGTTATGAATTTATTAGTAAATAACAAATTCAAGGAAGCCGCTGATGTAGCTGCTGCGTATCCAGCATATCATTCTCCTTATTTGATCCGGAGACCATTAAACTTATGTTTAGCGAAAAGGTATGTAATCTGTATCTGTAAGAATAATTTATCATTTTAATTATTACTAAATTTCTTTTAACCCTCCGTCGGTCAGAGTGGTCTGGCCAGACTTTTTCCGACTTCAATTTAAAAAAAAAATATTTCTAGTAATCATTTCTTGAAAAATTTCATTAGCTGTCGATCGATGAAAAAATCGGGACGAAAAAATGTACAGAAGGATGATTATAAGGATATTAACTTTTTTATACTTCGAACGATCGGAATGGTCTGTCTAGTCAGACCATCCATACATATTGTATGAAATATACGCTTTTTGATATATGTAAACTAGTATTTTGGCTTTTTTCTCATATTTTCTATTCAAACTGCGTTTTATATATTCTTTGCTATGTGTTGTAACATGAACGTTAGTATATTAATGATGAGAGTTCCTTGAAAACCTAACTTATTGGTCATCGCAAACATTAAAAATCGGATGAGTAATGCGCACATTATCAACAATTTTTCTATCCGTACTGCGTTTGAAAAAATGTTTGGCAAACCTGTAGTGAAATTATATTTTCAACTTGAATTTTCACAGATGCTCACTAGTAGTAGTACAGTAGTAGTAGGGTCAAAATAAGCTATGAAACACTAAAGTACAACTTATGCAATGAATATAACTATTGACTTCATATTAACTTCATAACATGAATGTCTATTTTAGTTCCACTATCATTTTTCAACTTAAATCTTTTTTTTTCTAAGGTGACGTTGAAACGTATGTTAATATTCTTCATATAGTGAATGCTAATATGGAAAGGCGTGAATCTGCAATAATGCAGCAAAAAAATGAAGAAGAAGATATGGCCACTAATGATCAGAATAATTTTGGCAAATTTAATAGTACTGGCTTAGCATTGACAGATCTGACATTTTTATCAGCTAAACAATGGAAACCCTTAATGGAATCAGTTTTGAAAGGTCTTATTGAAAAGGGCCTGGGAATAAATAATCACCAAGCTGAAATTATTCAAGAGAGATTAGGTGATAATATTACAGCAGAACTTTCAGATTTATTGAGTACGTTATCATCTGGAGAGTTACAACCGGCGCCGTTAAATCAACAAAGTCGTGGTAAGACTACAATTAGTGATCAAGCTCATTTGGAACACTTGATATCAATCTTGGAACAAAAGGGAGAAAAGGCTAATGGTTTAAAAAGACAGTTAATTACTATGTATTGTCGAAATAGAGAAATAGACAAGTTGGAAGCATTTACAACAAAACTGAAAGACCAAAATTTCACTTTTTCAGCAGGTGCAAATGCCCAAATACTTGAAATGTATGTACATTTTGAAAAACTTGACCAGGCAATGAAACTATACCATGAAATTATGAGCGCACAACCAGATTTCGCAGTTGACGACTTTAAAATTATACGTCTGGCTTCACTTCTGATAAAGAATAATAAATTTGATGAGGCCATAAAAATTTTAGATACACAGCCTTCTGAAAGAAAACTTGAAGATCGATCATTTGCTTATAATTCTGTATGTTGGAGATTGCTGAATTCTCTTGCTGAAACAAAAAATGTAGAACAATTAAAAACAGTTTTTGATAAATTGCTTTCAAAGAATTTTATTGAAGTAAATAATGTACTCTTGGGCCCTCTTATTAAGGTTCACATTTTGAGAAATGATTTAGAAGAAGCTATGAAGGAATTTGAGTGGTGCAGTCAGCAGCATCATATGACTCCATGGAAAACTGAATTAGCTTGCATGTTAATTCAAAAAGAAGATGCAAATAACTTACAAAAGTTAACAGATTTGAGCACTAAAGTTCATGGTGAAGTAAACAGTCTTTATGACTTAGTGTTTGCATTTGTAGAATGTGGTCGAATTAGGCAAGCTAGAAAAATCTTGGAAACACCTGGTTTAAGAAGTCGTCCCCATAGAATCAACACGGCATGTCAAAGATATTTGCAAGAAGGGATGGTGGCACCTTTGGAAGGACTAATTGAAGCTACCCGAGATTTATCATATATTGACCGCACTGATATATATTACAATTTGTTGTCACATTATTGCAACACTAGTGAAACTGATAAAGCCCTGGGTTTATGGACAAAAATGCAAGAAGAGGATTTAGCACCAACCAAAGAATTCTTGACCAAGCTTGGGACATATTTGCAATGTAAAGATATACCGGTGCCATTCACAATTCCTGAAAGTACTAAGAAGTCAGCATCCTTTAAAGAATCCAGTGTTAAAGAGGGATATGATATTAGAACTTTTCATAAGTCATTAAGGTTGGGAGACGTTGATAATGCTTTAAAAATAAAGAAAACTTTGCAGCCTGATCGTGCACTTTCTGTGAATGAAAACTCTTTACTGCTTGAAGCATTACTTAAACATAATCGAATGAATGAATCTTTGGAAGTGCTGTTTGAACTATTGAATAAAGGATTACATCCTTTACCAAGAATCTTCAGGTTTTGTTTAAATAAGTTTGCAATTAAGGGTGATATTGAAGCTATGGAGAAAATAGGCAAATCTTTAAATGATGATATTAAGAAATTGTGTTCATTTGATAATCGCTTATGTCATTGTTATATCAGCGCAGGAAAATGTGATGAATACTTAGATAAGCTAAATAAATTAATTATGGATGCTAAAGACGAGGATTTGAAGCAATTGGAAGCTAGTTTTCCTCGGGTGGAGCCAGTGGCATTCTTGAAAGCAGACCTGATTTATTAAATAAATGTAAGTTTTATACATAAGTAAATTTTTTTTATGAAATTAACGAACAAATTATTTCAGATGAGCAAGTTGCAACTGAATTTGCCAAAAGGGGTATTGTATCTCCAATAAACATTTTATGGATGCACCACTTTACAACTGGTAATGATGAAGCTGCTGATGAAATCTTGTCAAAATATTTGTCCAATTCACAAAGGATATTATTTCAACGAATACTTTATACTGCAAGAACAACTGATAATGAAGAACTAGTTGAAAAATTAGAAAATAAGATTAGGCAAACCAAACCATCTGAAGGGACTCTAGGAAAAATTTTCAGTTGCAGATTAGATATATTAACAGCCAAAGAAAATTATGAGGAGGCATTAGCATATTTGAAATCATGTCTCGAAGATGTTTCCTTAGAACATTTTACTCGATCTTCCTTGGTTCGCCTACAAGATGGAGCTAAGGCTAAGGGAATTACTTTCCCATACAATATTCCAAAAAGGGCAAGTCATTCTTCTAGTGATAGCTCAAGTGACGATGAAGCAAATTTAAAAGTAGACACAAAAAATTAGTTTCTTAAGATATAATATAATAGATCAAAAGCAGTAAAGGTATTCGTTTTGTTATATTCTTATAAAATTCATTAGTTTTTAATATAGTAAACCAAATTTAAAATATTGTTTCATGTTCAAGTACGTTTATCAAATGGTTAATAATTAAACCTTAAGGGGGTTGTTCTTTTTTCGTTACAAAAAATGCAAGGTATTTGTTTTTGTTTTTTCTCGAAATGTATTTATCATAGAGACATGCGGTTTTTTTCAAACAAAAATTACAAAATCATAGAATATTACGTGATTTATTATTTTTCTTTGCGCCGTCATTTTTTAACCAGGGGCGCCAAAGTCGGTCTTGCAAAAACGATCTCTTTTGCGGTGCCACAGATAAATCCGTTGCGCATCGCCCGAAACAAAAAAAAGAAATTACGTTGAAGAAGAAGTTTGTTCCAGTTCCCCTACCAAAAATAAAAAAACAAGCAGAAAGAAGGAAAAAAATGGCAGCTCTATTTAAAAAAAAAGTATCAAAAAAGGCTTTTTTTGGGCGAGAAGCTTCGCAAAATTTTTTTGCGTAATGTTATCAAGTTGTTTGAGGTAGGGGGACTCGGTATTGCAGTGGTGAACAAATTAAAAAAAATGCAAGTCGATCCGACTTGTAGTAGTTTTTGTTTAATTTGTGGCACCGCATTGAAAAAAGTCAATTTGAGAAAAACGTATTTAAAGTTCTTAATATAATGTACTGAATACACATTTAATTTAACTGTACTAAAACACCATGGTGTTTTTTAAAGATGCTGAACATTAAAAGGTCATGTGCATGAGGTATTATAATGAAAGAGGAATCTGGCATACAATAGCTCGCGGAGCGATTATAAAAAACGCTTTCAGAGGATCATACATATAGATATATATATCTATAACTTCGTCAAAAAAATAGATATTGAGATGATTTTTTTTGAAATGATTCTAAGGGTTTTATCTTTCATAATATCAAAAAATCTCAAAACCGAAACAAAGAAAAATAAAAAAAGAACGACCCCCTTAATATGAAAAATGTATCATAAACTCTCATCATATATCAATGTCAGTCAACTTTATTTCAAAATTTGAGATAATCATATTGAATTAAACAAATTTGATTCAGATGGCTTAACTATTATATTTTTAATTAATTTTTATATTGCAATTTTCAATTAATTTCTCCTATAAATCAAGGACAATGACAATAGACTCATGTGCACATATGAAGCTGGAAGATTTCTGGTTGTAATACAATTAATTTTTCCACTACACCAAATCTGTACAATGTGTATATATTTGCGCTTATAAGTTTGTTTCTCTCTTCAGCTTTCTTAACACAAGCTGAAATTGAATATTTGTTCTCTTTTATTATGAACCGAGGAATACTACTTATATTCTGAACTAGAATCCTAGTTAAATATACTATAGATTTCTTAGTCCATGCCCTACTTTGAAATTTATAAAAATGTTATGCCTCTATACATATATTTTAACCTTTAAAAACTGTTATAAAATTGAAGTTTTAGAAAAAAATGTCTGATATTGTTATTAAAACATCGTGAGTAGAATTTCATAATATAGAGCTTAAGGAATAGAAATAGCCCTTTTTTGATGAATTCATTACATTTAGTTAGTTTATTTGAATAATGTAAATAACCTTTATTTGCTCCCCTGTATGTATTCGGCAATTGGCAGTTTAGAATTTGCAATATAAATTTCACATAGATAAAAGAAGAATACTTTTGCGATAAAAGAAGATTTCGCTTACCATTAGATTATTTAAGTAATGTTAACATCTGGATAAACATTTTTTGAACAACAAATCATATTCTAGATGTTTTTTATAAAGTAGAATGCAAATAATAAACAAAAAGCATATTACCCATAGATAAATAAGCATATTACCTATCTTGTCATTCATTTGCGTCCATTCTTATTTTTTTTGAATTTAAAATATGAATTAAAGCGCATGCAGTAGCGTTTTGACAGCTAGATGAAAAGAAAAGTAAAAAATAACATAATTTAAACACACATGAAGTTAAACAAAATTTCCAGCTAAAGTTGGCGATGGGCTTAAAAACTGTCAGTGGTTGAACTGCTTGAAGTTGTCTCATATTTACACCCCAGTGTCTATTTCATATTTTGTCAAATTCACGTGTAAAACATTAAGGTTAATCTAAATTTATTTTTATTTCATTTTAATTTAACCGAAGAAATATGGTGAGTAATATTCAAACAATATAAACATTATTTTTTATGATATATTATTGGTCTTATTATTGGTGATTTTTTAGACAAAAACTAAAAAAGCTAAGAAAATCGCTCAAAAGCGATTCGCTCAAATGAAAAAAATGATCAGTCCAAGTGATCCTAGAATAAAAGAAACTCTGAGAGCGGCACCTAGAAAAAAGAAACCAGAGGATCCGACCCAAATAAAAGTTAGGGAAGTGCCCCAAGCTAGCTCCGCACTATTTTTCCAGTACAATACACAATTAGGACCCCCATATCACATACTGATTGATACAAATTTTATTAACTTTTCCATAAAAAATAAGTTAGACATAATTCAAAACATGATGGATTGTTTGTATGCAAAATGTATACCTTATATAACTGATTGTGTTCTTGCTGAACTTGAGAAGTTAGGACAAAAATATAAAGTTGCCCTTCGTATCATCAAAGATCCACGATTTGAAAGAATTACTTGTATGCATCAAGGTACATATGCAGATGACTGTTTAGTAAATAGGGTTACTCAACACAAATGTTATATTGTGGCAACAAATGATAAGGACTTAAAAAGGAGAATTAGGAAAATTCCTGGTGTTCCTATAATGTATGTGTCACAACATAGATATAACATTGAAAGAATGCCAGATGCATATGGCGCTCCCAAACGATGAATAATGTATATTTCATTAATAAAACTTATATTAAGCAAATAACGTGTTTATTATAAATTAATTTGCATGTGACAAGATGAGTAGAGATATATGAAACCTAAAAAGCAAAGTGAAGATCCATTTTTTTGTTCATTGCATTGTGTTGACCTAAAATAAAACAAACAAAATTAGATTTTGTTTAGACAAAAGAATTTCAAACAAAAAACTTGTTATGTTTCTTACAATATCATCTATCTTTAATATAGACCGCACAGTTTCAGTAGCTAATGTTATAGCACTTATTGATACCAACAAAGGCTGTACTACATTCTCTTCCAAAATATTTGTAATAGCCCCTTTGCGAACATTTACTCCAGCCATATTTTCGCCTTGGGCATGACGGCTTCTCAATTCAGTAATGGTTGAGATAGGGTTCAAACCTTTAATATACAAAAATAATTGTATTATGTTTTATTCAGAGTTAAAACCATTTGATTTTATATATATATATATATATATATATATATATTAATTGTTTAATATGAACAAAACAGCACTCAGATTTGTTTAACACAACTTTATTTTATGATTACAGACGTTTCGAGACCATGGTGTGTCTCATCTTCAGTGTAATTTCATAATTTAATTTGTTTTTTCATTTTTATCGATTTTTGTATGCGACAGCACTCCTTTTGTTTACATTATAATGATACCCATTCTGTCTCCATCTAGATAAGTACTTCAAATTTGTTTAGAATATTTCTGTAAGTGTTATATGTTTCTTTAGTACTGTGTCAAGCATTGCAAAGAATAGTTGGTGTTTTTTGTATATCAAAAATTAAATAAAATTTAAATAAATTATTAAAGAATGTGTAGTATATAAGTAACTGTTTTTGAAATTACACTGAAGATTAGACACACCATGGTCTCGAAACGTCTGTAATCATAAAATAAAATTGTGTTAAACAAATCTGAGTGCTGTTTTGTTCATATTAAACAATTAATATTCGTTCCACTCATATCATAAAATTCTATAATATATATATATATATATATATATATATATATATATATAATAGTTTATATCCTTTTATGATTCTTACCGGCATTTTCAGCTAAAGTGCTTGGAATAACCTCCATTGCATTTGCAAAAGCTCGGAAGCAATAAGAATCTACTCCCTCTAATGCTTGTGCATGTTCAGCCAATTTTAAAGCCAACTCTGTTTCTGGGGCACCACCACCAGCTATTAAGGAAGGCTTTTTAACAAGGCAACGAATAACACATAAAGCATCATGTAAAGAACGAGCTGCTTCATCCAACACCAACTTGTTGCTACCACGAACAATTATAGTCACTGTACGACCTTGATTTTGGATACCTGTAACCTGGAATGGAAATTAATGGGTTTAAGACATATGATTTTATATACAATATTAGAATTTATAACTGTAATTGATTCAAAACCAAATTTGTTACCTTTACAAATTTACTGCTTCCAGTCTGAACTTCTTCAACTAAATCTGCATTGACTAAATTTTCAGGTAGGAAATGATCTAATGAGGCAATTGGGCGGCAGTTAAGAGTTTTGCAGACAAACTCTATATCTTCACGCTCAATGTCTTTCACTACCATAACTTTAATTTTATCAAGGAAATGTAGAGCTAAATCACTTACAGCATCACTGTAATATTATATCTTATCACACACATCTATATTATATCAGTACTCAAAATAGATATACATACCGCAATATAGATTTCTGAACAAGTAATACATTACATCCACTTTTCTTGATTTGTTTGACAATATTTAGAATATATGCACGTTCTTCCTTAAGCACTCTATCCATGGCAGCATAATCAGACACTACAACATTATGATCCATCTACACAGAAAATACAGTTAATTATTTTCACAGTTTTCAATAGTATTTTAGTGTTTCATTTCCAGAAAGGCGTAATTTTCAGAATAGTTCTTATTAATTATTAATTAGAAAAACAAATATAGTTTGCAGTTTACCATTGAGCTGTGCTTAAACTTACATCAGTTTTTGGTGGAGAAATGCAGAATTGAATAAGACCAATTTTTGCTTTATCAACTTTCTTAGGTCCATTGACACCTGCACTTTTCTGTGTGAACACTAATCCTTCAACAAGCTCTGTATCTTCAGTGGTTCCACCAAGTTTTCGAATAACTTTTATATCTTTTAAATCTACTTGATTTTCTCGGCCAGGCTCAGTTACTGCAAATAAAATAATTTATTACACGATAAAATATTTTTATTATATGATATAATGTAACTGTTTTAAAAAAATTGGTTAATCATTTAAATTTAGTTAAAAACTGCTAATTTCTAGTTTAGCATTAAAAATTGAAATAATAAATTGTTTTCATATTTATTAAGTGGTGTTTTCAATAAAGTGTTTGGGAATAAATTTCCACCAATGAATAATAATATTTCTCTAGTGTGTTTGAATTCAATACCTTTGGTTACTGCATCAACGGCAATCGGTGCCAACAAGCTCGATTGTTGACTAACAACTTTAGAATTTAAAGAAGTGGAAGCACTTTTGATTAAACTCTCACGATCAGTAAGTTCAATTGGTTGTGACATGGTTGTAAGAATTTCCACAGCTTTGGTAGCACATCTAATGAAAATCATAAAATAAGTCTTATTTTAGTAATACTTCTATACATGAATGATGAAAACTAAATAATTTAAAGAACTTGGTAAATGTTCACTGCTCATTTATTACTTCAAACACTACCTTTGAAATGCATCAGAAATGGCAGTTGGATGAAGTCCTCTGTGAAGTAACTTTTCAGCAGCCTCCAGCAAAGCACCTGCAACTACTACAACTGATGTTGTGCCATCGCCAGCTTCAATATCTTGCGCCCGAGACAATTCAACCAACTAAAACCAAATATTACTGTGTTAACTAAATTAAAAAAACACTTATTTTTTATAATATTATGGTGATTAAAAAGACTTAATCATTATAATTCTCAGGAAACACCAAAAAATGTGCATCTAATGAGAGATTCAAAATGTAATCTGTTCAATATATTTTCATTATTAGTAAAATATACTAATATATCATAAAACCATGTACCATCTTAGCTGCTGGATGAGTAACATTCATTTCTTTCAAAATTGTGGCACCATCATTGGTAATTGTCACTTCACCGTTTGAGGCTTGGATCTGTTGAGGTTAAATGAAATTATTATAAACAAATTATAGTTTCTTATATATTATATGGATATTACAAATTTACCATCTTATCCATACCCCTGGGTCCCAAACTTGTACGTACTGCATCAGAAACAGCTAAAAATTAAATTTTTACATTCAGGTGTGCTTGAAAAAATATCATGTGACAGTAATAGTAAGTAGACTAATTATAATAAAATATATATTTAAAAAAATGCTTTTAAAATTAACTTTTCAGTTAATTATATATTGTCTGTTCAATTGCGCAATTTTTATTTAAAATGGGTGTGTAATGAGAAATGACCATTGTTCTAGAGGGTTCTAAGCATGTTTATTTAAGAATCAAGAAAGTTCTTTTATAATAAAAAGTTGACACAATTATTTGTGCATAATAATCGTATAATCTAATTGAATCAACTTATTTTATATACCTTTCGCAGCACATATATTGCTGCTACGAATATCAGCCGGTTTACTTTTATCTTTATATGCTTGTCCTTGCATTTTCACATCACCAAATGCTTTAGGTGCCATTTCTATTATCTATTTTCGTCAAATAGTCGAAATTGAAACACAAATAATATTTAGCCACACAGATGATTCTAGATTAAAATGTATCAAATAATTTTGTTTTTCGTAAACTTGTGATGTGATTGAAGTAATTTTGATACTCGCATGTATTGCCAGATGAGCTAATATGGAAGGAGCAGTGAAATTGAGATTTTTTCAAAAGCCACATTTGGGAGATTCAACAAAAACTCAAGTGGAAAATAATATACCGAAAATAATGGTTTCTGAAAACACATTTATGTGTTTATTAAAATTTAATCGCATAGATAAATTCTGAACAAAAATAATTTTTGAAAAGTTTATAAATAACGTTGCTTGTACTTTTAAACAATTATAAATTAAAATTTATTATATGCAACGTTATGTTTTTGACAAACTTAGAACTCAAAATTATTTTTGATTATATACACAAAATTTGATTAAAGCTACTTGAAAATCTGTTAATCTCATGTATGGCAACCCTGCACATATGAAACTGCAACTGGTGATTGTTTGTGCATTTTAACCTATATGACAATGTGCAAATTAAGAAAATCTTTACACTTCATGTTTTTATAATTATGTAATTAGCGAAATGTAGTCCTAGAACTTATTGCAAAATGAATTAATAAATTTGCTTCGAAATATCCTTTATCAATTAATCACCTGGCAAATATCTGGCTTTAAAAATGTCAAAACGATACTCTTCATTCGATTCTTCTTCATCAAGCAAAAAACCTAAATTATGTGTTTTAATAAATGCGCAATCAAACGGTAATTATATTCCTAGAAACAATAATGTTAACAATCACGAGAAACTTGAGAACAATGCGAAACCTGGTTTGTATATAATAATTTTTATTCCAAATGTGAACTCCAAATTCAGTAATTTTTAACCCATGTTAATTAGCCAATTTGTTTTTATTTTCAATTATTGGAGAAAATTTAAACATTGATCATAAATAGTGCAATACTGCATTTTGATATCGCTTATCAATTCAACTATATACAATTGTTGTTAATTTCATTGCCCATAGTAATTAATATATTCAATAATCAATTAAATTTAGTAATTAATATATTCAATAATTAATATATTTGTTTGTTTATTTTTTGTTAGAATGTCAATTGCGATAAGTTTGCAATCTTTGTATTTTCCATCTTACAGCTACTTCAAATAATCTAGAGGATGTATGGGGAGATGATTTAGATGCCGATGCCGTAGATGACATAATGTCTGTTGCTACACAGTTAACCCAACAAGTATGCACTCAAGAAAACAACCCTTTTAAGGTAATCTATTTGGACACTTTGAAAAGAAATGTGTATCTAGTAAGACTTAGCTGATATTATTTACACACATACAGTGTTTAATGCCTGTTACATATATGGTGAAACAAATTTACCTTAAGGAATATTATTTATCAAAAATTGTTAATTGTTAATAAATTGCATAATTTTCTAATGTTCATCTTTTTTTTGATAGTGAAAAAGCACTTTTGTGATTCTCTATTTTGAAAGAAAATTCTATTTTGAATTAATATATTTGTAATTTTTCAATTCCTAATTGACAAAAAGACCAAATTAGAATTTTTCTAAGCAGCTTCTATTTTTCAGGTATCCGATGTAAGTGTTTCTTCTCTACCTACATTCACAGAGTTCAGACAACCACAAATGAGTAGTACTCAAATAACTCAGTGTCAGATTAACAGACAAAAAGAAAAAGTTCGGACATATGATGCCAAAAAAAATATTCCTATTTATTGTATGCCATCTTCTAAAAGTAATAATACTAATTTAAATACTTTTAATACTGGAGATAGAAGAGATATAAATTTAGTTGAACACCGGTTGAAAAGCAGAGCCGAAGATATTAAAGCACGACTCCATGATGTTAATCAAAGTCATAACACACACCAATTTGAAGATATTGTACTGGAGTATGAAAGATTGAAGGTTGAGCATGGAAAGGCTATTGATAGATGTTTGACAAAGGAAGGGGAGGTATTATATATATAGATAGATAGAAAGACACTATTTGAATTACATTAATCACCGTAACTATGTATGTTGCAATATTAAAATATTTAATGATGTTTATTATTAACCTAATAATAATTATTAATTTGATTATTTTTATATATTTTTAACACTATTTCCTAAAAATGACTTTCATTATTTTATGCAAATATGAGATCAAACCAAAATGATATTGTATTTTGTTTTAGGTAACATTCTTAAGATCTCAATTAGCTTCATCCAAAGCAACTGCAGAATCTCTTAGGGTAGAAAAATTACAATTAAATGAGAAAACTAGGCTAGAATTAGAAAAAAAACTTGCCGAGGCTAATAAACGAATTGATGACCTTGTGGCCCAACTACAATTTAAGGTAAGTTTTATTTAAGTGTAGATTTGAATAAGTGGCTAGCAATGCCTCAAAAGGCAGGGTAACCAAAAAAATTCAATCGCAGACTGAAATTTATGATTGGATAAATTATCAACTATCCTAATTAAGTTATTTTAGTTTCATTTTTATGTTAATACATAATTGTAGATTTCTAAAAGTTCATATAATCAAGATTACATAATTCTTCAGTTTTGGAGCTTAGATAGAGTCAGAATTAAAAATTTTACTGTATCTATTATATATAATTTATTCAATATATCAACAGAATTCAGTACAATCACTATTGATTAGTATTACAAAAAAATTATTACCTTCCATGGATTTGTTCACAAAAATTAAAAAAAAAAAATCGTATATGTAAAGGAAAAACGTGATCTTTTTTTTTTTTCAAAAATAACCCACAATATTCTCTGAATAGCAGTTATTTTATAAGAAATGGTTGTATAAAACAAAAAATAAGATTAATCATTTATGAAGAGAGTGAATTATTTTCAACATTATTTTCAATAAGATGTCTTATACACAAGAGGCAAGATACTGAATAGCAAAGCCTTGCTATAAAATGTATTAACTTTTTATTGCGTCTTTCGTCTTATTACCTTTAGAACCAGAACATTTATTTTGTAACCTGCAGATTCTTCAACTTTTTTGCTGATACTAAACTTTTGGTTACTTCTGTTTTAAATCAGGCCTTTTGTCTATGCCTTGACTAATTGTAGATAATGTACTGATTTAACCCTTTTTGGTTGTTTGTCCGCTCCCAACCACCAAAGCCTTTTTACGATTTCGGTCATATATCTGCTCTCAGCCACTCAGCAAAAAACTATACTATATGCATTCACTGTATAAAATATTCAATTATAATTCAATATTATAAAACATCACTTTTTATAGAAAAACATTACTAGATGAGCATGCTGAATAAAAATATACCTAAAGTTTATGAAACAATTATTAAATCGTTATTATATGGATATTAATTCCAAGTAGTCTTCAAATTTAATCCAACTGCTAAAGGTTAAAGTCCAACTAAATATTTAAAACTGTGGATGCTGATTTGCCCCTCAAACACTTCAAGTCACTTACTGCTTTCTTGATATGAAATGCAAAGTGCTTGTAACAATAATAATATAAAGCTTAAGGCATTATCAATTATAATATTTACTGAATGTATAATTTGGGTTTTAGTCGTTTAAAAAAAATGGTTTCAATCACTCTATATTTCTGAACAAAAAAACATTCTATATTCCCAGAAGGTAGAAAATATTTATAAATGAATAATTTTTTTAGCAAAAATTGCTTGCTTATTTGCAGCCAATTAGTTGAAATAATGAACAATTAATCATTTAACTATTTGTTATGTACGTTTGGACACTAAATGTGTGTCATCATTTAGTAAATTAATTCAGTTAAGTTCAAACCAGGAAACACACGCAAATTTAAACTCATGGTTCTATAAAAAACTACGAAACAACAAAACTTTGTATAAATAAAATACAAAAACAAATGACAAATTTTATGTAGTTTGTTCAATGATTGAAAAAATCCAAAATTATTATACTGCAGTATGTGCGAAGCTGATTTGAACAAATATTTACCTAAAATCTCGTTTGTAAACTTCTCTTTACATTTAAAACAAACAAAAGTATTTTACCATATTAAATGAGATAAGCAAATTACTTGTCTTACCTTTTTTCAAAATGTTGTTAGCTTTTAAGATGCTTAATCTTTAATTATTCCACTGTTCTATTTATTATTTTTTATTATTTATAATATTAGGATTTAGAGATAGCCAATGCCAAGGATAGGACAAGACTATTGGAATCCAAAAAAATCAAATTAGCTGAGCCTCAATCGCAAAGGTTATCTGATGTATCAAATTTATATTCACCAAAATCCCGCACGATTAGAATAGAAAAAAAGCCTACAGAAACAACAGCTATTCAGACATCAACTAATTTTAAAATTACGTCAACAAATGATTGTTACCAAAGTTTTCCTTTGTTAAATGCTTTTCCAAAAGAATTTTTTGAGGAGTTAGAAAACGGATTTCTAGCAAAGGACATCACTAAATACTCAGGTCATAAACATCACGATTGTTTGAGTGTCAAATCACTACTTTCTGATGTATATATGCTATCCAAATTATCTGATAATGCACTGAAAAACCAAAATATAAACAGCAGTCTTTTCAAAATTATAAGCATCACTAGAGCATTGGCCATAAAAGTATCCTCATCATTAACCGAACCAAATGACCAACTTCAAAAAAGGCTTTGTAAAACAATTAAAGACAAAGTTGCACAAGATAATAATAATATTTTCCAATCGAAACCATGGAAGAATGAAGTTTTTGTCGAATTGAGAAAATGTTTGGCCATATCTTCATTACTTGTGTTACATTGCCCATATATTCGTAAATTTGTAATGGATACCAATTATGACAATTGCATAGACTACAAGTTAAATGAATGGTTTGTGGAGCACAATAGTTGTTTATATTTACATCACAAAGATGATAGAAATTTATTGACTTTATTATTGTTCATACTTGAAAATTTGCCAGAGCTTAATTTAGGTTTAACTCATGAGGCGCTATTAATTAGCATAACAGAGTTTATTATCAGCTGTTTTAAAACATTGCCACAATGCAAAAATATTTTGGAAAAGATTCTGAGGACATTGGTATTTGCTATACCACCTTCAAGGGTAATACATAGATTAGCAGAATTATTAGAGTTTATGTCAATAGATAACACATATCGCGAAATATTATGTGTGGATAGCAAAGAAAAATTATCTCTTGAATTTGAAAAAGGGTACTATGGATTCTCAAAAGATTCATGTTTTTTGCAAGTGTTTGCAGTTTTATTAGAAACTTGTATATCCAAGGAATATATTCAACAGGGTGAGTATCTTGTGTTGCATAATTTAACATGCAGTGTGATCAATTTTGTGCACAACGCTTTAACAAATGATCTTAAATGGCCTTATCTTCAAATTCACTGTATGTGTTCATCATTAATTATGACATCAGTTGCTGTTTTAATGCATTACTGCATTGAACAATACAAAACAAGTTTTTCTATGCTTGCTGATGACCAAATGTTTTGTGAAAGTTTAAGTCGTGTTCTTCATGGTGGAATTTTAACTATGCATCAGTTGCTAATGAGAGATCCTGCACAGCCAAATAACTCTATTCAACTAAGTTACTTTGGAGGAAGATTTTTGTCAGTTGTGAATTTTGCTTATGACGTCAAGGAAAGAATATTTAAAAATCCTAGCACTATAGAATTTGTAGACCAAGTCTTACGAGATTTACAGTTTTATACGCCACTGTCGGATGATGATTGTAAGATGAGTGATATTTTTGAAGGTACTTATAGTCATAAGTTTAACATAACAAATTAGTCTGCTGATTTATTTTATTGACATAATAGACTGTGTTGAACAAATAGTTTTAGAATGAGCTGTTTGTGTTAATGAGTATATATTATATAGAAATAATTTATTATGAATTATTATGGAAATAATAGAAATTTTAAATAAGGTAATATATGCCAAATCACAATATCTGTGATAAATCATTTTTATTTTTTATATGTATATATATTTATATTGTAGATATAAATTAAACATAAATTATTCTAACAAAAACAACTGGCATTTATCATTGGATGTTTAATAACTAATTATTTGTTAATCTTAAAACTATGTGTGGAAGACAATGATTTTAATTGCTATATTGTGTCAAAAACCTAATTAACCTAATCAAAAATTTATTAATTAGGTAGTATTCCATATGGCATGTAATCACGTTGATGGGGTATTTGATATATCTCAGCTGATTTTGAAGGAGTACCGCCAAGAAGCTCAGACATAAAGCCAATATAAGTTATAGCTAGTCGAAGAGTTTCGATGCGAGATAGCCGCTTTTCATATGCAAAAGTTGGAACCTGTTGATAAAATTAAAAGTAAATATATACATATATACATTTACATACACACATATATGCATATATATTTTGGAGTAGTTAATTCTGATGTTGAGATAAATGACCCACTTCAATATATGGGGCAAAACATGCCAAAAATTGCAATTGAGTTTTTGAGAGACCGGAGCGTCCGATTTGAATGATTTCAAAAGCAATTGACTTGTATGAATGTGAAGAACTGATTAAATTTTTGGGACGGTAAGTCCAGTGGTTTCGCAGATCCAGAAAAAAGTTAAAAGAGATGCCGATCTGACAGTCAAAAATGATCTTTACGCACGTCAGATTATTAGATATTATTTAGAGATTTTAATGCAAAGTATAATATTTGTTTTTATATCTATGGGTTCCGTACCAAGATTTATAATGTTTAAAGTTCATTTAAATGTCTTTTTGACAGTATGGTTCAACAGACTTGAATGGGTTTGAAGAGAGTAAAATTTTGTCAAAAATTTCAAAATTTTTAAAATGAGAAGATCTTTGTAATACAATCAGAAATACAATTTTTTAGAAGTTACCAAAATTTTTAAATTATATTATTCACGTTCCAGCAATTTGCTTTAAGGTACTAGTCATGCACCACTAATAGTTATATTTTGTTTAAGCAGCAGGAGTAATAAAAGCACCTTTAGTGTTAGTGGAGTGGCACAATAGCAACGCCTACGAAGTGCAAAGGGTTAAGATCCTGTTTATATATTTTAAAGGGCGTCCATTAATCGCGTGAGGTTTTCAGGGGGAGGGGGGTTGACGAAATATCACGTGAGGAAGGAAGGGGTAAAGTAAGATATCACGTGTATTTATTTTTTACCTGATTTAAAAAAAATCAAACATTTTCAAAAAAAAAAATTAAAAATTTTACAATTTTTTCTCGTAACTAAAATACACGTAGTGTAAGGGGGGGGGGCAACTTTGAATATCACCATGTATCACACAAGGGGGAGGGAGGGTTCAAATCTTTAAAAAATCGATCACGTAATTAATGGACGCTCCCTTAAATACCACATATTACAATGAAAGGACATCTAGTGCAAAGATGTGAGATTATTAGAAAAAATAACTAAAGGTAGTTTTCTGGGTAGAAAAAAAAAAATTTGTCAATTTTATCTATTGCGCCATAAACACCTTGCGTCTTAATTTATCAAATGCTTCGTTTAAATTGAACATCCTTCGTCTTTCTCGGATATTGGCCGCACGTCTTTGAGCGACCGAGGCGACCCTTCTACGCGGTTTCTTTGTACTCGTTGAAGATGCGGAAGATGATGATCCAATTTGGGATGGTATTGTCCTCACGTTACCAATACGTTGTGCTACCATGCCGCCACATTGTTGTCGCGGCCACACTGTTAGCATGAAATTCAAAAATTATTAAGTAAGTAAATTACTGTTCAGTTAAATTGATTTTTAACTTATTTTCGGTAATTTTATTAAGATATTTTATTATAATTCGCATAATTTTGTTACAGTTTACTATATTTTATAATTTATGCATGCATTATCCGATATTCTGAATATTGTCGTATTTTGGGAGTTAGAAGCAGACAATTACAAAAGTGTTTACCAGCGATCAATCTTGATTTAACAAAGCTTAGCGCTTATAAACTGTTTTGTTATCAAGTAGCAATATTTTCAAAATAGCTAATATTTCTTAAGAACTGTTGAGTTGAGTAACATAACAATTAAATGATCTCATCTATAAATCTCTGAACCTTATAGCAAGTTCCAGAATTTTGCCTAATAATAAATTGTGAATTTGTACTAGATTTGACAAATAGTTTTTATTAGAAATATCTCTCCAATTGAAGAAATTATTCTATATCAGACCTTTTGTATTGTTTTGTAAATAATAAATATCATCTGGAACAGTGATTTCTGAAAGTGATTCGCATAAACTCCCAAACTTCAGTGGAAAAAAAATCGATAAATCGAAAAATACAATATTTATAAATAGAACTGAAAAGTAAATAAAAATATTTTTTTTTTTAACTTCCTCTAGGGTAAGTTATACTAATCGCAAAAAGATCGTAGATGAAAATTCTTATATATCGTTTCAAAGGTTTCTGAACATTTGGAATACTTTAGAGAAAAAAATGTATGTGTGTGTGCGGATACAATTTTTTGTCGACAATTTTGGGAACACGGATCAACCGATTTGAATAATTCAAAAAGCATTTGATTCGTATTGATAAGGAAACGTGAAAGATACGGGGCAAAAAGTGCCAAAAACGGTAACTCAGTTCGATTTTAATGATTCAAAAAACATTTTACTTTTATTAACAAAATGAAGAACTGATTAAATTTTTGGGAAGGTAGGTCCAGCGGTTATGGTCTCAATAAAAATAAGTTAAAAAATGCCATTTGGCGGTCAAAAATGTTCATTGGGCATATGCACATCAAATTATCAGATATTTTAATAATGTGTAAACAATTTGTGTATTTTTTTGGGTTCCGTACCAAGATTTCCAATTTTAAACTTCACGTATATGGTTCAAACAAATGTACTCGACATTTTCGACAGTATGGAATAACCGATTTGAATAATTTAAAAAACAATTGATTCGTATTGATAAGGAGCCGTGTTAGTTAGTTTTTAGGTATAGGCAGGTCTAGCTGCTTTTGAGATACGGGGCAAAAAGAGCCAATAATTGCAATTCAGTTTTTGAGAGAACGAAGCGTCCGATTTGAATAATTCAAAAAACATCTTATTTGTATTGACTAAACGAAGAACTGTTCAAATTTTTGGAAAGGCAGGTAAAATATCTTGTGATTGGATAGTAAATTAATCTGAAGAGTTTATCATTAAATTATCAAAAAATATTGAAATGCAAAATAAAAATTTAAGGCAGGCGCTAAACGCACCGATGTGTATGCAATCTAGTTCGATGAAATGAAATAAAATCAGAAACTAGCGAAAATAGCTGGTGATCATCCAGTTTGCTTGGGGAAAAGAGTTTTTTTAGAAAAGCGTCCAATTTTCCCCAGAAATTTTATAATCTTATTTATAATCGTATAAACAACAATCCTTATTGATTTTATTGTTTTATTTTATAATTGTTATTTTTATTATTACTTTATTTTCACTTTTTTTATTAGTTCTCTCGAATGTATAAAATTTCTAACATGTATGCAATGGAGGTATTTTTAACTTCCCACAGGGTAAGTTATTATAATCGTCCAAAAATCGAAATTGGAAATTTTTGCATTTCTTTACGTTGTGAATGTTTCTGAATATTTTGACATACCTCAGAGAAAATGGATGTGTGTGTATATATATGTATGGATACAATTTTTCACTTTGTATAGTCTTTACAGAACTGTAATTTTTACTATAAGTAATTACCTAAATCAGCGCACGGAAACCCAGCCAGCAGTTCTGGATATGGCATTAGAGTTTGTGGAGGCTCTCCATGCCATAAAGGTCCGTAAGAAGGCATATCTGAGGTGTAGGGTGGTATTTCTGGACCCTGAAATATTTTTTTATTGAATCAAATATAATGCTGTGTGAATATATGCAAAATGTATTAACATTTCTGCTAAGATATTGTCAGACTTATCGTTTTATTCTGATTATGGTACAAAGGGAAAGAGCAAATGATATTTTTATATGACTATATTCTTATTTCATCAAATAGAAGTAATATTTGTATATAATGAAATAATAGCTTAATAGCTCACCAGCTACTTATTATACTATTATAAATCCATTAACTAATTTTATGGTATTATCAATAACCGAAACTTATGTCGTCTAGTTACAAACAGTTTGTATGTTTTGCTGTTTATTAGTTTAAATATTATTGTAACTAATAATAATATAAATATTATTTTAGGCATATTCTTTACCCTTTTGTTTTCACGAATAAATCTGAAGAGGATTATTACGGGATGATATGTCGTGTTATAACGCACGGTCGATGATAAATTAATTTTCCGAAATTTGGTTCAAAGCTATTTCACTTTCTCTCGACATAGGGCACCATCTATATGTAAAGCAATTGTTTTTAACACTACATTTACGGACCGGAGCCAATTTGATTCAATTAAAATTTGATCATCAGTATACACAAAACTTTAATGTTATTTGTTACAAACATACATTGGTTTTTAGTTAATGAAATTAACTAAACATTAACATGTTAACATACATTCCAATTACTCGCAGACCCCTTCACAGAACAATTTAACAGTTTTTGCAAGAAAAACCGAACCACAAAGGTAATTTTGTAATTTATGTGTAGAAGGAATTTGTTGGAATCAAAGATTATAAGTAATGCTGAATTTGCCTTGATTTCAAAAATATGGTAAAAACTTGTGCTGATAGTCATGTTTGTTATGCCGAATAACATAGAAAAATTAGTATCAAATTTTGTCTGGAATCTGATAGAAGCAAATATTTTATAAATGGTTTTCCGTACTTGAGCAAGGATGAAATTCGAAGACCATAAATTTTTTGAACGAAATTTTAGTAATTAAGCTTGCAAAGCCATATTTAATAAGCTCTGGACAAAATATAACTTATTTTCTATGTGGCAATTCGAGTGATCCTTGATCAGGGCCCATAGTCTACTTTGCTTGGCTCTTTACGTCCAAATCGCGACAGCCAAAAAAGATAAAATGACAAAGTTTTCTATACATTTGCTTAGATCTGAGAATTGTGCCCTGACCATTTATTAAAACTGTCCTTATAAAGTGATTTACTACTGATTATGAACCATAGAAACTTAAATTGAACAAAATAAAAAAGTTGTTTCATAAACATTAACTTTAAGTATGTGAGTCATTTTGTAGACGTTTTTTTCAAAAACGGCCAAACTGATTTAAAAAATTTCAAAAACATTCGATGTTACTCGATAAGTGCGATTGGCCAAGCTTCTTTTATAATTAGCAAAAACGTGCAAAATTATTCCTCCATGTGTCTGAGTTAATCATATTGAGTTAATGATATATACGCTCATTTTGAGTTAATTATTTTATTAATATTGGACTCCCGTTAACTCTATAGAGTTAATTATCTAAACGGGAGTCCTAAAATATTAGAGGCATATGAAAAGTGGTTAAATTATAAAAATTTATTAGAGTTTGGAGTTGGAACCCTGGCTTTTAGAATATACGAGCGCGTGTCTATGCAATATAATTAATACAAACTGCATAAGTTTGAAAGGTGTCACTTGGAAATTGTATTTATTTATTTTTAGCGCAAGCGAAATAAGCTGTAAATCTAAATAGCCCAATCTCAATTCTTATTGATTAAGTCGATTAATTGCACATTTCTGAAAATTTATGCAACTTGCCTTGGGGCAAAATACCACTTGCACCTAGTTTATTCTCATTCTAAGTATGAAATACAAAAAAGAACTATCTAATCTAACATATGTACATATAAACAAAATGTTGGTTGCTGCGGTTTTAATTTTATAAAATTTCATTGTGGATCTTGTGTTTACTAAAGGACAAGAGAAATGGTATTTTTGCCCTATATTTGGTTTCTAATTCATTTTTCTATAAGAATATTTTTACTGACATGGTACAGAGAACAGATGGGAAATAAATTCAAAATATATATGTAGGGTAAAGTGTGGCTCATTCGAAACCCGCCAACTCTTAGAACTATATCCTAAATGCAAGTAAAGTTAAGAATTTTTTAACATCAATATTTTATAGTAGATTGAAAATGATGTATAACCAGCTGCCACTTGATTCTTACGACGTTCTTATCGGGTGATAAACGGCAATGTTTAAAAATTCATAACAAAAATTCTTTTTTCGTTATTTTTTGTGGTTTTGAGCACTTTTGTTTTGTTTACTTTAGAGAGACCTTAAGATAATTTTTAACTATACTTTATTTAATTATTTTATAAGATGCGTTGTTATTTTTCTTAGCTTAAACAGTTTTTTCATATAACCCCTATAAAAGCTTAAATGTGGGTGGGATAAAAAGGGCCAACTAAAAAGTAACTTACGTTGCATAAAAGCTATTTAATATAAGTTTAATTAAATAAATAAATATTTCATCATGGCTGATGAATATTACTGACGAAATACCAGATCAGGGTTATATACAGTATTATCTCTGTGCAAAATATACCCATACAATTTATAATTTGCATTGGTTGAATAATGTTGAATAATGTTTATTATTTCGTAAAATTTCATTAAAATTGAAAATAAGACATTAGATCTGTTTGCCTTTTGGTTGTCCTATTTTACCCCGCGTGTGGGGGTAATAGGTTGAAAAACAGCAAAAAAAACTCATTTCTGCAATAGTGGATTAGCTGGCAGTTTTACTGAACATAGTCAGATAGTTAATATGAGTTATTTGTTGTGATATAATTTGTTTGGTTTTCGCAATATAATTGCTCAAAGTCAAATTGGATGTTTATGCCCTGTCCTACCTTATACTAGAACATAAATGTAAAATTTAGGTTTATTAAGGAATAATATTATGACTTAAAAATAAATTCAACTTTCGAGTGCAAGGAAAACAGGATTGTTTTATGCGATATATTTATTTTATTTTATGGTGAAAGAAGAATTGAATATATCTTAATTTTAAAACTGTATAGAATTTAATATGAATAATTACATTTATTAAATAAAGTAATAAATAATACTTAATAACCAATAAATAAATAATACTTAATAAACATTTACCGTGTTGTTATTATCCCAGACATGAGGCTCGCCTTGGTAAGCCATATACAAAAATTTAAAAACACCCACTAGCTGTTTTACACTTTTCGATAAACAACAATTAATAACATAAATATATTCAACTTGTTTAAACAAGTTCTTTTGATCTATTAAGATTTAATATATTTGCCACTTATTTCCAAATGCTTTTGGTTACACCTTGCACTTCGGGCGCACTTGACGTTGTGTCATATTCATCCCTCGGTATTTGGGATTTAAATATAATTTTGCGAATACACCCCAGGATCATGGAAACCTCGACGGGGAAAACATGCCTCGCTTTTCTGATTGGCCGGAAAACATCCGCGAATGGGCGGCGTTTAGGGTGAATCCGCACCAATTGCCTATCAAGCTGTTGGCTTGGAAGCTAGGCATATAGGGTGGATATAGCTCGAAATATATTACAATGTTATCGATTGTTTTACTTTTTATTAAAAAATTAATTTCCATTGTTGTACTAACATTATTCATGTATTTTGTGTAACTATAGAATATAAAAAGTGGCATTTCTATAAAACTAACTTAATTCAACAATTTATAAAATTTTAATAATGCAATTTTCAACTTTTCTTTTCTCTTTATTAACTTCATGTAGAGTAAGTTATAGTAATCGCAAAAAACGAAAAAAAATTATATATTTTTATGTTTCAAAGTTTTCTGAACATTTTTGCACACCTTAGAAAAAATAGATATATGTGTGTGTATGTATTTGCGGCTACAATTTTTTGGCGACTATTTCGAGAACACGGATCAACCGATTTGAGTGATTCAGAAAACATTCGATTGCTATTGATAAGGAAGCGATTGATAATTTCTCGAGAAATACTAGACTAAAATGTACAGCAGAAACAGCTTATAGAACACGTAGTTCTGATATTTGTTAAAATATAAGAAATGTGTGGTACAGCTTCAAAAAGTGTACGGCTTACATATTATTTCATGGTGTAAATAAATTTGATATGCCACCCTAGTAGATATCTTTATTAACTAATTTTGCAATAAAAGTATGAGCGTGGAATTTATTAACTTCCCGTAGGGATAGTTATAGTAATCGCAAAAAAATCGAAAATGAAAATTTTTATATATCTTTGCGTTTCAGAGGTTTCTGAACATTTTGGCATACCTTAGAAAAAATGGATGTATGTGTGTGTGTGTGTGTGTGTGTGTGTGTGTATGTATGTATGTATGTGCGTGTGTGTATGTATGTGCGGATACAAATTTTCGTCGACGATTTCGGGAACACGGATCAACCGATTTGAATAATTCAAAAAACATTCGATTCGTATTGATAAGGAGACGTGCTGATTAGTTTTTGGCAAAGACAGGTCTAGCCGTTCCAAAGATACGGGGCAAAAAGTGCCGAAAACGGTAACTCAGTTTTTAAGAGAACGGAGTGTCCAATTTGAATAAGTCAAAAAACGTTTTACTTGTATTGACAAGATGAAGAATTGACCAAATTTTCATAAAGGCAGGTCTAGCGGTTTCGGAGATCTAATGAAAAAAGTAAAAAAAAATGCCATTTGGCCGTCAAAAATGATCATTAGACATATGCACATCAAATTATCAGATATTTTATAGAGATTTTAACAATAAGTATGAATTTTGTTTACATTCCTATGGGTTCCGTACCAATGTTTACGCGTTAGACGGCGACGCGGCGCTTACGCGCTTTGATATTTCGTCTTTATGCAGTTAAAGCAGTACGATTGCTTTGAAAAAAGGTCAGATCTTCCAAAGTATGTCAAAATAAAGAAAACATTTTTTTTTCAAAAAAAAAAAAGAAATTTAAATTTTTTTTTTTAAAAAAAATTTTTTTTTCAAAAAAAAGTAATTTTTTGTCCAATTTATAGTTTCTCAAAAATCTTATTTTTTTGAAGTAAATTTTTTTCAAAAATGTTAATCGTTTTTAAAAAAAAATAATTTTTGGTACGGGAAGTTTCAGCAATTTGCCTTAAGGCACGATGCCTTAATTGCCCTAAGACAGAATTCCACTTACAGCTAGTTGAAAATAATATTATACAAAATATAAAACTGAAAATAGATATTTCACTATCATACGTTATTTTTTATATTAGTTAAAAGTACATGTTTCAAATACTAAAGATTTACTATTTTACAAATAAAATATTATTTGTTTCATAATTATTTAATCATATTTATATGTGAAACAAATATTCTCGATTGTAAAACATGGCAAAATAATTATAATTTATTTAGTGATAATTTTTTCAATAACTTTACCGAATTACGGTTTATTGATAAATCTTGTTATATAATAAAATACTGTTATTAGCACTTCTTTGCATATATTTAGCATTTTTTAAATTATATATAAGGTTGTTCGGAAAGTCACTTCGTTTTTTAACACCAGAATTTAGCAATACTTTTTTGAACTTAACATCACACTTAAGCCCTATAATTATTATATGATTTGAATACTTATATTTTAAGGCTTGCGTGTAAAAAATTGTAATCAATTACATCCAGTAATTTTTGGATGGTGCCACTTTGAATACGGAAAGAATTAAGCAGCATTTTCGACACATTTTACTCTTTTGCTATAGAAAAGGTAAAATACTGTTCAAAGATCCAGGTCAAAATGAAATTGACCGATGTGTACGGAAATGACGTGTTGATAGTATGACAGTGCCAAAATTGGTTCGTTAAATTTCATTTTTGGTATTTTGATGTCCAAGATGCACCAAGTCCAAGATGTACGGTTGAAGCTGATCAAGACGCGAGAAAGGCATTAGTTGATGCAAACCTACGAATAACAATACATGAGATCCCATTGAATAAAAATTTATCAAATTTAATAGTTCATGGCCACTCAAATTATCTGAGATTTTCAGAAAGAAACCTGTGTCGTTGCACTGGCGTCCGCAATTCGCCTCTGAAAAGTCTTGAAAATTATCAGGTTTTGAAGCGAATTGTCACTAGGAATGTCAAATGGGATAAAAGAATACAATACACGCAAACAAAAAAAAGAACCTACTTGAAACAGGTGCAGAAGGTGAAATTTGCCAGAAAAAGTGATGTAGTGTGTTGGTAAGATTTTAAAGAAGTTGTTCATTTTTCAGCTTTTCCAGGATAAATTAATGCACAAGCAAGGTATAGTCCTGCATCAAGACGACGCCATGCATCACATAAGTTTGGTCAATCGCCAGAAGCTTTTGAGCTGAATGGACTCAATGATTCAGACCTGCCATCATCAGACCATTATTTGTTCCGGCCACTAAAAAAAATTTTAGGCGGTAAAACCTTTACCTCAAATCAGCCTGTCAAAATGCACTTTGTTGCAGTTTTTTGCCAATAACGACCAAAAATTTTATGATTTCGGATTATGCTAATACCAGAAATATGACAAAAAATTGTCGATCAAAACTGCCGATACATAATCTATTAAAGTATTATTGTACGAAAATTACGTGCCAAAATGTCTATAAAAAACGAAGTTACTTTCCGAAAACCCAATACATCTTTTACAATTTCACAGAGGATTAATAAAACAATTAAATATTTAATTTAAATTCATTATTTGAACACTGAAATTACTGAAGAAATTTATATAGATTATACATGGGCATAAATTTTATCATTTGTAGATCTATTACTCATAAACTGTATAATGAATTTTTTGCATAACGCCCTTTAGCAAAGGGTGCTATTCCTTTATATGCAATATCCGTTTCAAAATAATCCCATATCCGTCTTTAAGGAGTATAAAACTAATATTCAAAATGATCATGTTTTAATCCTAACAGATGCCAATCAAAATTTTAGAGTTCGTATATGATAAACAGTAATAATTTCTATATTGCATATTATAACATTATCAACAAACATTTGTCAATTATGCCAAATACTATGTAAAAGAGCTAAAGAGAATCATTTTTGCGTTTTTAGTTTAATATACAATTAATCTACAATTATTATAAGTTATAACTAGTGATGCATGGCATCGTGCCTTAAGGCAAATTGGTTGAACTTCTCGTACCAAAAAATACGAGTATAAGATTCTTTTTTTAAATTTTATTTTTTTTTAAATTGACATTTTTCAAATTTGTTTTTTTTGTAATTTGAAATTTTGAAATATCGAAGTGCGTAGTCTAACGGCTAAACATTTGTCCGCCAAATTGCATTTTTTTTTCATTGAATCTCTGAAACCGCTAGACCTGCCTCTTATCAGTTCTTCATTTTGTCAATACAAACAAAATGTTATTTGAATCATTCAAATCGGACACTCCGTTCTCTCATAAATTGAATACCGTTTTCGCACTTTTTGACCCGTATCTTCGGAACGGCTGAATCTGCCTGAGCCAAACAAATTTGCTAGACAAAAAATTTTAATTGTTAAAATAATTTTAATTATTTCCAATCTGATCACAGGTGGAACAAAACATTTGAAGAGTAAATATGAATACACACTTTCATTGTATGAAAATTAAAAAAAACTAATGAGGCCGTACTGTAATGTACGAAAATTCGAAAAATTTTATTTTAAATGTTTACAGTCTGAATTGAAATTGAAATCCCAATAATTTTAGATATTAAAACATTAAAAATTATATTTTTTTAGAAATTTTGAAATAAAACAAATTTTGCCTTCTTCAAAAACTAATCATTCGCATGGTCAACACAAGCAATTTTTTTTAATTAGGTGTTCTCATAATAACTGTTATTTTTGCCTTTTGCTCCGTATCTTCGAAACGACTCGACCTGTCTTGCTAAAAACTAATCAGCACATCTGCTATTACACTAAATTCTAATCAGACACAAATTATCCAGATAAAAGGAAGTAATTTTGTATTTTAATTTAATTTTAAATTTATTTTTTTGATTTTGTGCAATTCACAAACATAATTATGGTATGATAAATTTTAAAAATCAACAAATCTAGAAAAATTATTATCTAACTTAATTCTTAGCAAAATTCATGCTCCCATAAATTTATTCGGAAAACGCGCGGGTTTATTTATCCAGTTTTATTCCAATTATTCCGAAAATAATTTCTTCATTTTTATTGAATTATTTTTTAAATGTTTCGTGATATTAAAGCATTCAAATCACTCTAAATATTTTGACTGAATGAATTAGCATAACACTTGTGCATACAGCTGCACTAAATGTTACTCTTTATTTAAATGTACCGGAACATTTGCATAAAGAAGGGATGATCATCGTATTGTACGATTCGAATACAGTTTCAAATATTGAAGCCTCAAAATACCCCTTAACTAATCACAATATAGATATATAATTATTAAAAGAATTCTGATCATAGGTATAATGTACTCGTAAATAATAAAATACATAATTAATGGGTACCAATTGATTATAAAGTAAATATTCATTTTTTTTTTCCCCCTTATCAAGTTTTTCATAAAAGTGCTATCCAAATAATATTATCATTCGATTCTTTGAATTAGTTTAGGATCAAAATTGCTCAAAATCTGAATCGATTTAATAGTTTAGGATTTTATTGATTTTGAAATTAGACTATGAAAATATTTTTATGTATAAAAATATTTTGAAAACGTATTTGTGCATTGCACTAAGGTTTTAATATTGCAAGAGCAAGTAAGCAATATGAGCGTAAATACAAAAAAAATTCATGTAACAAATTTATACATTTTCAGTTTTACCAATTTCCGCTTTTATTTCATTCTTTTCTATAAATTATAAAGAAATTTAATTTGGCATTTTAATGGCCCCGCCTTATTTAAAAATTGAAAGGCGAAATTGAAAATGTTTGCCTATTTTCACGTTTTGCAGGTTTCTGAACATTTTGGCATACCTTAAAAAAATTTATGTCTTTGTGTGCGTCTGTGTGTATGTATGTGCGGATACAATTATACGCCCACGTTTTCGAGCGCATAGATCAACCGATTTGAATGGTTAAAAAATATTCGATTCCTATAGATAGGGAGATGTGCTGATTAGTTTTTGGCAAAGGCAGGTTAGCCAGCCGTTTTGGAGATACGGAGCAAAGAGTGCAGAAAATAGAAATTGTGTTTTTGAGAGAACGGAGCATCTGATACGAATGATCCAAAAAAGATTCAATTCGTAATGATGGGGAGAAGTAGTGATTACTTTTGGAAAAGGCAGGTATCATTTTGGCAAAATACAGAGCTAAATGTGCAAAAATGACAGTTTTTATGGAAATGTTTGCAATTTTTAAAAATAGTTTTCCAGCAAACAAAATGTCAAATGTCTTATGTAGATATATGACGGGAAATTAAAAAAAATCTATCAGTTTCTACTTTTCTATAATAAAATATACACCTGGTGTATTTGACTAAAGTTGTAGTGGATATCAGCTGATAGTTTATCCAACATATGACAACTTCCTATACGCACCTAGTCTCTATATCGGATTAGATATTAAATCGTATTTAGTAGAAAATTACTTCTTTGTAGCGCAGGAATGCGTCGGCTGCAATTTTGTAACAAACAAGGAAAACTGAGGGGGAATCATGACCATTGCGAACTTTGACCTTACAGAATTAATCATAATTCGTTTGCACGTGTTAGCGTTTCAACAAGAATTAACTTAAACTACCCCAAAATTTCACGCTATGATTTAGTTTCCTCTTTTGTAGGTGTGCATGATATATGGATTATAATATTATAGAATAAGTAAATAAATTTATAGGGGATATTTGATAAAAAATGTTGATTTTAAAAATACATTTTATATGAAAGCTGAACATTATTGATCTTTTGAGATCTGTACTAACTGTGATTCCAGACATTTGAACTTGATTTGAAACGAAATTTTAATACTTTAATTCTCGAAATATTTATTATAAGAACAAAGTCTGGAATGGATGATTTTATTCTGGAATTTTATTCTGAATAATATACATACAAATTGCTATTATTGTTTTTAAACAAATGCTTTGTTGAAATCTTGTGTATAAATTTTATTTTCTTCTGTTCAGCTACAATTATCATTG